ATTACAAGTTTTATATTTAGGTATTTTATTATTTATATTATTATTACCCCATCCCCCTTCTCTTCCTGGACCAGCTGAAAAGTTAATTAGATTAATAAAGAATTTAATATTTTAGAAATATTATTATTAGATACCTTTTCGGGCTCAGTTTTCTTTGCCTTCTGGTAAAAAAATATTTAGATTAATGACAGATTCAGTTTTTATTATTTCAGTATTATTACCTCGTCGGTGTTGTCCGTCCGGCTCTATTGAAAAATTAATTAGATTAATAATACATTTTTAATTCTATTATTATTATTACCTGGATCTCCTCAACTAAAAGCTAAAAATAATTTTATTAATATTTTGTATAAATTATAAATTAGGTAACTTACCTTATTTAGAATATCTTCCAACTGTCCCTAAAAATAAAAAAAAACGTTTAAAATACTCTTAAAAAAAAAGACTTACCTTTGATATTTCCTTTTCCCGCTTCTAAAAAAATGATCGATATTAATTATCTAGAATCTAGATGAAAGAGAAAATATAATAGGTACTCACTTTATCAAAATTTTTTTCATCTGCTTCCAACTTAAAAAAAAAAGAAAAAAAAACAATTTTAGTAGGTACCTATACCAAATATTTTTTACACACGTTAACTTAATTAAAGTACCTATAGTGTGTTAATATATTTCTTTCAATATATTTTATATTATTAAGTACTTACTTCCTTAATGTCCTTGTTTAATTGTTCCTTAGATTCCATCTAAAAACAATAAATTAATCAAAATATACATGGAAATTTTGTATATAAATAAATAATGCACGGTTCTAAGAGGTCATTTTCCAACTTTTTCTTTAAAATAATAAATAAAAGAAATCATGTATTTTCTTCCTTTCCTGCTTTAAAACGCAATAATTTTATAAAATCATTAATAATTAATTAAGAATTCTAATTTTTTGAGGAAATGAAAGGAAAATATGGTACTTTTAAACAAAAAAAAAGAATTCATTTATGTCCATAGTAAGGTCTTTTTTACTTCATTCAATTATTACTATTATTGTATTTTTATTGAAAATGGCATAATAAACAAAATATCAGTGATAATTTTCATTTAATGCATAATTGTTTAAAAGTACCATATTTTTACTTCATTTCCTCAAAAAATTAGAAATGTTCATTAATTTAAGTTTAATATTTTTTAAAAACAAATGAGGGGGCGGCACGATTAAAATTTCGATATCGGCCAAATAAGAACCACAGTATATGTATATAAATGCTGTGATAAATAATGTAGGTATATTATTTCTTAAAAGTATTTTAAAACAAAAATGTATATTGATAATTTAACTTATTTTTGTTGTTTTTTTTACGAAAATATGTATGTAAATATTTGTTAAAAAAAACTTTTTTTTTTAATGTAAAGGGTGTTTTCTTATAAATGGGACACTCCTATGAAATCTTTATTAGAATATCGAAAAAATTTAAAATCCAGATGCATTGTTTAAAAAAGTAATTTTTTTGACAAAAATTCAAAAACCAAAAAGCATCGGTAAATTTAATAAAATAGCATCGGCATTGTTTTTTTTTTAATGAAACACCCTGTATATTTTTGAAAAACAATTCAATTGGGCTACCACTAGTGATTTGATTTGGAAAAAACACGTGTCCCTGAGGGTTTTTTTTAAGATAGGTAATTTATGAAATTGTAAGTGTTATTTTTGCAGATTTTTTTTAATTCAAACATATACCTACAAATTATATATATGTGTATTTGAAATTATAATAAAAAACTCTATTTAAATGTTCAAAAATATACAGGGTGTTTCATTGCAATGAAACACCCATGGAAAAATCAATGTTATATCTACATATCGCTCATTCGAAACAACAGTGACACAACTCAAAAATCAGTTTTTGAGAAAACGCATTTTAAATTTGTTATTACTGTTTTCCATTAACCAAGCCGGGCTAAAAAAATAAAAGCTGGGCTCAAATATTTTGGTTGTTTAGGCATACTCTCTAAAAAATAGTACCTAATAACAAATTTAAAATGCGTTTTCTCAAAAACTGATTTTTGAGTTGTGTCACTGTTGTTTCGAATGAGCGATATGTATTTCATCAATTTTACCGATGTTTTTTTGTTTTTTAATTTTTGTCAAAAATTTTTCATAAAATTATTTTTTCAAACCATGCAAGCTAGATTTTTTAATTTTTTAATTTATTTTCAAATAAAGATTTTAAAGAAGTGTCCCATTTATACGAAAACACCCTGTACATAAATATATTTTTAATGTCAATTAAAATATCAAATACCAATTAAATACATCAATTTTACCAATGCTTTTTTGTTTTTTAATTTTTGTCAAAAATTTTTCATAAAATCACTTTTTTGACCATGCAGCTGAATTTTTTATTTTTTTAATAATTATATTAATTTTATATTTCTATTTAGGTATATATGAATTTAAGTTATTTAGTTTAAATATAATAAAAATATATATACCTATATTTTATACTAATGTTTTGTATTTTTTGTTTTAAATACATTTTTATTTTCTGTTTTAAATATATTTTATAATATAATAATATTTTCAAATAAAGATTTTAGAGGAGTGTCCTATTTATACGAAAACACACTGTACATACATAGATTTATTTTTAATGGCAATTAAAATATCAAAAAATATCAATATTAAAAATATCAAATACCAATTAAATACATCAATTTTATCAATGCTTTCTTGTTTTTTAATTTTTATCAAAAAAATTACTTATAATAATATGTATGTAAGTGGTACCCTATTTGATATTTTAATTGTGGTATAAATGTATAAATATAATATTATGTATGTCCAGGGTGTTTTCGTATAAAAACTTTATTGAAAGAGAAATTTAAAAATCCAGCTTGCATGGTTTAAAAAGTAATTTTTTTGATAAAAATTATTATTATTATTACTAATAATAATTATAATTATTAATTAACTATCTACCCACTTTATCTAATTATTATTTATAATAATTAATAATAATTATTATTAATTAATTATCTACCCAATTATTATTTAATTATCATTTAAAAGTAAAATTCTATTTTAAAAAAATATGCCTCTATGTATACATTCTATGTATACATACATATGTACATTTTTAATTAAAAATAAATAAATTTCACACGTTTCAGAGGCATATTTATTATTATTATTACTAATAATAATTATTAATTAACTATCTACCCACTTTATCTAATTATTATTTATAATAATTAATAATAATTATTATTAATTAATTATCTACCCAATTATTATTTAATTATCATTTAAAAGTAAAATTCTATTTTAAAAAAATATGCCTCTATGTATACATTCTATGTATACATACATATGTACATTTTTAATTAAAAATAAATAAATTTCACACGTTTCAGAGGCATATTTTTTTTAAATAGAATTTTACTTTTAAATGATAATTAAATAATAATTGGGTAGATAATTAATTAATAATTATTATTATTAATTATTATAAATAATAATTAGATAAAGTGGGTAGATAGTTAATTAATAATTATTATAATGATAATTAAATAATAATTGGGTAGATAATTAATTAATAATTATTATAAATAATAATTAGATAAAGTGGGTAGATATATCTAACTATAGTTAATTAATAATTATTATTAGTAATAATAATTATATAATGAAATAGAATAGAAATTACCTCTCAGAACAGCACTAGGAATTGTAAATAAATAAATAAATTCTTTTGGTTACTTACTTTACTCAATGATGAAATAATAAACCACTAAATTCAGACACAAATAATCCTAGGACAAATAATATTATGACTGCAAATAAAAAATTGTTGTCGTCTCGTTGCTAAGCGACGAGTTTAGTGAAAGGAGGGGTAAGAAGCTCGCGTGGGAGATCGGAATTTCAAACAAATACCCCTTATTTTATCATATTTTCAAGCTTGGAACATTGGTGGGTAGATGGCGACACCTTACGGACACATTTTCTTGTAAATTAATAATAATACGCATGGCACAGAGCGTCCTACCACCTTGCGTCTCTTCACACACTTTACTCAATGAAATAACAATGTATCTTGTAATAATAGGTACTTATTTATTTATTGTTATGCATGCAATTATTTGCACGCATTTTAGTACAGAAAGAATGTGGCTGATGTCCACTGTGATCATATATTTTTTAACTCATCCACTACTTAATTATAGAAAATCGACTTCCTAATTAGGTACAAAAATGTTCTAAAAATTGACTAAACTTTTTTTAACAGATCGTCTTCTAACAGAAAATCTACTAAAATCTTAATTACAGAAAACTACTAAAAATCGACTAATTTGGTTCCGAAAATTAACTAGAACTTCTCGAAATATAAAAATAAATCACCAATACAAATCTCGCCATCTAGCAGCTACTTATAGTATTAGGAGTATACACCAGAAGATACCTACTGTAGGTAACAATGGCTACCTCTATGGGGCGCCGTTTTATTTTTTATTTTGGAATTATTCTTATAACACATATATGTGTTAACACTAATTAGTTACTTTATAAAGTAATATTTTCAATTTGATAAAAAATATCATATACCTAGGTACAAATTTTTATTCTACGAATTAAAAATATCATAGTGGATAAAATTTGTGTATAAATTTTAATTTAATTTTTCTGCCAAACTAATATTTTTAATTTAGTAGCTAAATTTAAAATATCTGTTTCTTATATTTGTATTTTTTAGTTAAATAAATATTTTCTACGCTGAATAATGTCTTTTTCTAAAAAAAGACGGGGCCCAACGCTTTCCCGAACACAAGTTTTTTTGACGTAATTACGCCACTGGTGTGCGGTGCAGAATGCTGTGCATTGATTGGTTTATTGCTTTCTATAAATTTTCTATAGAAAGTAAAGTTGCAAATTTTGAAAAAAAAATACAGATTCTTCACAAAAGTGATAAACAAAAATAATGGAAGGTTAAAATAAAAAAGTTGTTTTTTAAATTTAATAACTTTATTGAGTATGGTTCCTGTACAATTCTATTCTGTGCTTACAGAATACTGTTAACCATAGCATAATAAGCAAGAAGCAAATAAAATAATAATAAATTTATAATTATATTCAAATATAATACATGATTCCTTCCTTATGATGTTAGTATCCTCGATTAAAATTCTGTACAAACACCCTACTACATTGTACATCTAGTAAATAATATGTATGTATGTAAAATGCATTTAAAGACTAAATTGGCACCTGATTTTTTTCTGTGCCTGGAGTTGTAACACAACTAAAATAAAGAGTATTTGATTTAATCTACTTACAATAAAATCCTATAAAATAACAAAAAGTCCAAAAATAAATTCGTTAAAACGTTCAGGTGCTAAAGCAGTCTTCGATACACTTTTAAAATATATATTTTTTATTATTTGTGTGTGGAAACGATACTTAATCTTAACGTAATATTTTATACTTAGGACAGCAAATAGATGACGTAAGTATAGAATAAAGTTAGTCTGATGCATGACGGTGAACATTATGAGCATATCAATTAAATATAAAAAAGGAAACCGACAATTTTCTCTAAAATTACTCAGTCATGCACCGATGTCGAAAAGTAAGTTTCAAAACAATGGATTTAATCAAATTGGACTATTTTCTATATTTATATATATATTATTAAAATAACTTAATATACTTTTTGTTATGAAACATACCTTTACTGGAAACAACACTGATAAAATACACATAATATATTTTCATTTTCAATTTACACTTTTTTTGTGTTGATAAGTATACTTTGAAAGTGCTTTCAGATTGATGGTATTAGTGAAAAAAAGTGGACTAAATAACAATAATTAATTGCACTTTACAGTGAATAAAATTTATATAAACGTATCTATGTAGTGCAAATAATAACATCAATCCAAACGGTTTGGTTTTATTGATTTACCCACACTGTCAGCTAAAAAAAATTAATTAAAAATAGGTACGTTTATCACAAATTTTCTTACGCATAAAAATAAAATGAAATATTTTCGGGGGGGCGCTATTTGAAAATAGAAAAAGGAGCGACAGTGTAATTTGTTGTTATTAATTTGGTTTTAAGGTAAAGAAGGTAAAGAGGCCGCGGCGCGGCTTTTATTACACGTACATATCACTTGTGTCGTAGCACAGTAAGTCCGTTTAGTTCACTTATTCCTTTTAGAATAATTTTAACCGGGCCGTGGCCTTGGAGAGCGCAAGGCCATCACTTGCAACAGTTGCCCGCGGCCTTGGCGCCTGTGTCGTTTTCTGCCAGTCGCCTGCCCTGGCCGCTGCTGCCCTGTCCTGCTGTTTGTTCATTTTTCGGGAGTTTTTTAGCTGAAAATAATCGAAGATAAATCGCCGCCTGTATGTTAAAACTAATGTTGGGAATTTTTTAGTTTTAGAAATTCGAATACTCGTTTAAAAATTATTTCGAATATTCGAATTATTAGAATATTCGAGTATTCGAATATTCGGGTATTCGAATATTCATGTACCTACTCGTATATTTAAATATTCGAATATCGAGTACATTTAATCGAATTTTTATATATTAGAATATTAAAATATTTACCAGATCCAGTGAAGTTTCACTAGTTTTAGAGATTTTTTAGCCAATCAAGAGATTTAATAAAAACTTATAATATTAATTATTGTATCTGTTTTCTACTTATCAAAAGATAATGGTAATAATAATAATAATTATTATTATAAAAAGTTATTATTAAATCTCTAAATTATAATTTTTTCTCCGCAAAAGTAGCCTGGAGTAGCCTGGCTAGTTTTTTCGAGTCTCCTATGAAATAATATTAGTTTATGATGCTTTAAAAATTAATGGTCGCACAATAATTTTGAAAATTCAAAAAATGGTTAAAAATTTTGACTCAAATTCGAAAATATTTTTAATAAATTTATTAAAGTTTCAGCTCTGAATCAAAATCTACTTACACACTAGATAATATCTAATATCTATTATATATAGGCAAGTTGCCTATACCTTCGGATTTCGGGCTTTTTGGCTAGAAATTCTAAATTAAAATTGCACGTGAAAGTAGCGGGCTGCCGAAAATTTTGCCTACGAATACCTATTAATTAGTAAGTACTTTCCGCTAGTGTATGTGAGTAAAAATTCATTTTTTAACCTGTAACTTAGAAAAACTCATTAATTGTACAAAGTGTACAAACATTTACTGTGCAGTATTATTTTTTTTCACTTGGAAAATAGATTTTTTTATTGTGAAAAATGTCTCCTTCGTCAAATGTCTCTTTTGTCACACTGCATTCCTATCGCTACGACATTAAAACTTAAAAATAAGACACTTTAAGGGAAATTTACTGCTGAGAGTAACATTACCTTTAGTTTGACTAAATAATACTCACAATGGATATGAAAATGTAAAATATTTATTTTTGAGGTAGATGGGGCTAAAAAGTATATTGACCCAAGTATGTCAGGCAAAGATTTCACTGTATGCGGCAACCTTTAATTTTTTAAATTCTAAAATGGTGCGTCAAAAAGTATTCAGAAAATGTTTTGCTGGCTTATTTCTTAAAACTCAAAACCGTCAGAAAAATAAAATCTTTGACAACGGCATATCTGAAGAAGCAATATGAAGGCTTCTTTCCAAAAAAGTCGAGTCTTTATGTCCAATACTCCTGATAAATAATATTTGAAAATAAAGGTAAAATTTGTATCATATAAATATAGAAGACTTAGGACCTTAATTTTTTATGTAAGTTCCTGACACAAAAACCATAAAGAAGCGATCATTACTTCTTATAGTAGTCACCTGCCCACATAAACAATAAATAAAATGTTACTTAAAATGGGGCTTTTATTTAATTAATTTAAAAGCATTTTTGGAATTATCTTTGAGAGGCCGTAAAAGTTCTTTTACTTTTGTCACAAAAGTTTAATTTTAACAATGTTAAAAAAAAATATTTTTGGCTATAAATTGAAAAGTAAAAGCTTTGTACATGTCAATAGAAACAATTACTTTTGAGAAATGATAAATAAACGAAAACTGTCGAAAAATAATTTTTATCAAAAAATTTGTCTTAAAATTTTAGAAAAATCAAAACTGCAAATTAACTATAGTCAATAAAAAAGCAAAGCAAAAGAATTCGTTTAAAAACCGATTTAAATTACAGCAGGTTCGCAAATAAAACATCCTCGTTGCACTAGACGGCATTCATATTAAAATTAAATTACAAATTACGTCTCTCACTAATCGCGTTACAGTAAATAACCGCCTACCGAACCTTACGTAAAATTGCGAATAGGACTCCCAAGCTCGCTTATTAATATAATATAAAGGGTAAATTGATTTTGGCGTGAAGGATTTCGGAACAAAAACAAAATTCGCCACCTTGTTTGCCAAATAAATTAACGATGTGTAAACCACATAAGGCAAATGTTTACCGAAATACGATATTAATAATCGTTCTACCGATGAAGCACATTTTTACATGAGTTTTTCAGATATTATGTTTTTGATTGCCTTATGATAAAGTTTGTTATGCAGAACAAAATCCAAGATATAAATTTTTGTGTTGACATTCCTAAGAATGTAGCTTAAGATATTTTTGAAGTTAAACTCATTTTGGCCCATCGAGAGTAAAATTCAATAAGTTTGAGCTAGAAGTTCGAAAAGTTAAAAAATCGATACGCTGTTGAGACGAAAATTTCACAAGATTGAGCTAAAGTTCGAGAAATTAGAAAATCGATACGAGTAGAAATAATAAAAACTTCAAAATTAATACAATTTCAAAAATTATCAAAATTTTAAAAAATTTGCTAATTTTCGAAATTTTGAATTTTTGTTAATTTCCACTCGTATTGATTTTACTCCTTTCGGCCGTTCAGACGAAAATTCGACATGTTTAATCTAGAAGTTCGAGAAGTTAAAAAATCGATACGAGTGGATAATTATCAAAATTTCAAAAAATCACAAAATTACTAAAATTTGAAAAATAATTAAAATTTACAAAAAATTTTGAAATTCCAAAATTTTGAAGGCAATGATCCCTATCGGATTTTTTTTTAAATTTTGATAATTTCCACTCATTTCGATTTTACTCCTTTTGGAACGTTGTGATGAGAATTCGACAAGTTTGAGCTAGAAAATTGATACAAGTGGAGATTTTAATAATTATTAGGTACATAATTATTATTGAAATTTTAGTAATTTTTAAAAAATTTGAAATTTTTTTAAAATTACCAACATTTCAAAAATTATCAAAATTTACAAAAATTACAAGATTTTGATTTTTTTTGTAAATTTTATAAATTTTTATAAATAGATTCTTTTTAATTTTGGAAATTTTGTTAATTTTCACACGTAAAATCAATCCTTCTTTTAAGAAGTTAAGAAGAAAAATCGACAAATTTGAGCTAGAAGTTGAAAAAGTTAAAAATCGATACCAATGCAAAATTGTAAAAAAAAATCAAAAAAGATAATAATAAAATTGGATTTTTTTAGAATTTGGAAATTTTGTTTATTTACACTCGTATCGACTTAACTCCTTTTGGTCGTTGAGACGAAAAATCGACAAATTTGAGCTAAAAGTTGAAAATTTCAAAAATTTCATAATTTTGATTTTTTGTTGCAATTTTTAGAAATTTCGGAATTTTCAAAATTCCGATTTTTAGTTGTATTTATCAAAGTTTCAGAATTTTTTAAATTTTGATTTATTGTTGTAAGTTTTAGAAATTTTGAGGAAAATAAAATCGGATTTTTTTAGAATTTGTAAATTTTTTTAATTTTCACTCGATTTTACTTATTTTGGCCGTTGAGACGAAAAATCGACAAATATGAGCAAGAGGTTGGAAAAGTTAAAAAATCGATACGATTTCATCGAAAATTTTCAAAAGTATTAAAATTTACAAAAATTTAAATCAATTTTTGTTTAGATTTTGGAAAAGTCAATTTCCACTCGTATCGATTTTACTCCTTTCGGGAATTATTAAAACGTCAGAAATTCCAATTTTTTTTTTAATTTTTAAGAAAATGAAATCAATTTCATGTGTGTTTTTTAATTTAGGAAATTTTGTTAATTTTTACTCGTTTCCTTTGAGCTAAAAAAAATCGATGCGAGTTTAAAATTTTTTTAAAATTACTAAAATTTCAAAAATTATCAAAATCTCGGAATTTTTAAAATTTTAATATTTGTTTTAATTTTGGAAATTTTGAGGAAAATTTTAGAATTTGGAAACTGTTAATTTCCACTCGTATCGATTCTACTCCTTTTGGCCGTTGAGACGAAAAATTCTAAAAATTTGAGCTAAAAATGGAAAATTTAAAAAAATTCACAATAACTAAAATTTCAAAAATTGTCAAATTTTGTAATTTCTACTCGTATCGATGCCTGGTAAAATTTTACTCTCAACGCTCCAAAAGAATTAAAAAAATAATCACCTCAAGTTACAACTTGTTAACTAGAGGTAAAAGTAAAAAAAAAACTTAATACACTGTTTTTCTTCTTACCTATCGCTTGGAATATATCGTTGACGTTCATGGCCGTCTTGGCGGAGGTCTCCATGAAGAGGAGCCCGTTTTCCTCGGCGTAGGTCTGCGCCTCCTCGAACTCCACCATGCGCTTGTTGGCCAAGTCCTGCTTGTTGCCTGCGAGCGCTATCACGATCGTGGGGCTGGCCTGCCGCTGCAGCTCCTTGACCCACGTCTTCGCCCTGCCGAACGTGTCCTGGTTCGTGATGTCGTACACGACGATAGCTGCCTGGGCGCCTCTGTAGTACATCGGAGCCAAACTGTGGTATCTGCAAGAAAGCGTGCGAGTTAGAGTTAGGGTTGGGAAAATTTCACTTTTTGCTTGTACTTGAAATTTCACTTGAAATTTTCATGACATTTATGAAATTTATTAAAATTTTCTAAATTTCTGAAATTTCATGTAGTTTATGAAATGTATTGAAACTTTAAAGTGTAATATATTATATATATTGAAATAAGCCCACTCGGGGACCATGGCAAGTTGCCTCTCTTACCTCCTACTCCTCTGTGGGCCCCTGACCACCAATAATATAAATAGTAAATACCTATGTTTACCACAAATTTCTTGAGATTTCCTTTTAAAAATATTAAAACTAAGAGAGATATAGCACTTTTTGGTAAGCTAACGAGATTGTGCCACTTTCATTGTTTTATATTTATTATTTTTATATATTTCACTGAAATTTTACAAAAATTGAAGAAACTTCATCAAAATTTTATGAGCAAAAGACATTTTTCATCCGTTTTCCGATGCAATTATAGCAAAAGTATAAGTTTAAATTAATCATGAGTTTTAAAAAAAATTTAAAGTCTGATTTAATTTACAAATTAAATTGGTAACTGAATTAAATTATTTAAATTAATTTATGCATATAAGTAACAATAATTACTAATAGTGTATTCAAATCCAAGCCGAACTAAACAAAAACGCCTAGACGCTTGATAACTGGTTCTTAATGGTCGATTCGGAATCTGTTGTAAATTATTATTAAAGGTCCCAGGGGAGGCCGCATGTGAAATGTATGCGAAATTTTCAGTAAATTGCGAAACTTTCAATGAAACTTCTGAAAGCTTCACAGGCAATGTTGAAATTTTCAAATTGAAAATTTCATTTGAAATTTTTAAAAATTTACCTTTTCCAACAAAATGAAATATTTCAAGTTTGAAACTTTCAAAGTTGAAATTTTCATTTGAAAATTTCAACTGTCCCAACCCTAGCTAGAGTCCAGCACAGTCGCGATTTTGCTCGATAAACCGGATTAATCCAATACAGCAAAATTGGGATTTGAAAATTTGAATTATCATTTTTAATTTTCAAGATATTGTAAACTATGACTTATTTCCCAAACCACAAAATAGGTGTCTTAACCGCACTTGCGAGATTTAATAGAGAAACTTTGGCCTTTACGTAAATTGCATAGGTGGTGTCTGCAAAAGGCGGAAGTTTACACGGTACGAGAATAAGTGTTGCCAACCGTACCATAATTGTGGTATTTGTAGCATAATTTCTTTTTTTACATTATTCTTTTAACATAATTTAAGTATTAATTTTGCAGCATGCTTTTGCACCTAAAATAAAATAGGCAACGTTGCTATTAGGTATCAGTCCTACCAATTAACAGCTGTTTATAAAAATTTAATGTTCTAGGTTGACAGCACTTATAACTGTTAGGTTCTTTTTTATTCAAACTTTTTTTTTCTCCTCTGTGGTTTTGTTATCCCTAATATAATATTTTTTGTACAAAAAATAATTTATACAATAACCAAGACTGTGATGAATATTATTTTTGATTAAAAGTGTTAATTTAGTTCGGTAGTTTAAAATGATTTATTATTTTTTTACCAAAGTTTATTTTTTTGTTTGTACTGGGTGATAAACTTTTTGTTTTTCCCTGTAAACTGATCAATTTTCCAATTTTTTTATACAAACAAAAAAAAGTATTTTTTAGTACCTACATAACCACACTTTTGGGACACTTAAAATAAAAAAGTTAAAGGGGATCACCCTGTACCTAATTTATTTTATTTTGTTTTTTGTTTGTGTTAAAATAAATATGCCTGGTTGTATGAATTTTAAAGTCCTAAAATGTACCATAATTTTTGCCATAATATTTGTTTGGTGCGTACCATTATGTACAATGATTTTTCAAAATGTTTACCATAATTTTTATTTTAAGGTTGGCAACACTGACGAGAACACTTTACCACATTTTTTATCACTTTGTATAATATTGTGGATTTATCATTATATCAATAAAGGTTAGTTCATAAAAAGGTACCTTTACGGAAATAAAACATTCTCGTTAATATTTTTAAGTTATTAGGTTACAAAAAAAGTATAGTCTGTATGAGTGCACGTCGGCAATGCGATATAATGACATCAGCATTGCCAACTTTGAATTGTAAAAGTTACTGCCGCACTGAAAAAAAAAGGTGCCCTTAAACTAAAGTAGTCAGCTCTCTAAAAAATTATTAGCGGCAAGAAACAATATTTTAGCACAAAAGAGTATTTATTGCTTAAAGAAAAAAGTTCTTAGTGGAAGAAGTATAGTTCCTAGATGCAGTTTTCTTGTTAAAATCCCATTTTTTTGAGCTAAAATTTTCTTCATTCAAAAGATAAATATATTCCGAATAAATATTTTTGGTTCTTGTACCAAGAAATCGCTTGCTCTTGATTTTAGCTAATATTGTAATATCCTTAAAGGAATAGATTAATCTCTCCCCTCAAGTAATTTAAAAAAAATTATGTGAAAATAGATTCTGATTTGGATTAAGAAGGAAAAATTAGATGCCCGAATGGTATTTGACAAGACTATTAACAATTAAAATATAAATTGCAATTTTTGGTGACAACAGCTCTCAAGTTTTGCCGCGGGTAAACTCGAAAAAACTGCTGACAGATGCTGTCATACAGTTTTTCCACATTTGTAATTCAAAATTGCGCGTTTGTGATTGGTGAAAATTAAGACGAGGGAAATAGTCTTATAAAATATTAGTTAATATAATTATACAGGGTTTTTCAAAATGGCGCCATAACAGTGTTGATAACACGCAAAGTTAGAAAATTTTGGTGTCGTGAAAAATAAATTTTTGCAAATTTTGAAAAGAATTCAAAAGAATTTAGTGTTTTACAGGTTTTAAAAATCATCAAAAATATTTTTTCTTGGAAATCAACAATATTTGCTTTCTTCTTTGTATCTTATTTCAGATAAAAACGGTTTCCCAAAATCCAGTATTTTTTTCGATTGAAAAAACATAATCTAAATTATATTTTATAAAAAAAATAGGCATTAATACTATTGCGCAAAAAAATTAAGAAAATGGCCGATTGCGAACAAGTTTCACATATTATTTTGCCCCATAGTCAAATCAAAAATTAAATAGAAAATAGAATTCGTAGTGTGATTTAACCTTAATGGTATTATTGACAGATGTGTTTTGATTTTGAGGTTACGTTTTGACTCACACTTATTCTTTACCTTAAAAATGTTAGTGTTAAAATCATATTTATATAAGTAGTGCATCATCTGCCAAACGGTTTTAACCTCACTTTTCCCAATTTTATGTACTACACCTTTTCCAGTTGATATTCAGAAAGTAGGAATTGTAATTCAGTTATTCCAGTTGATATTCAGATAGTAGGAATTGTTATTCAGCTATTCCAATTGATTTTAAGAGAGTAGCATATGTAATTCAGATAACACAATTGATTTTAAAAAAGTAGCAATTGTAATTCAGATAACACAATTGATTTTCAGAAACTTGCAATTGTAATTCAGAAAGTAGCAAATGTTTTAGGAACAGTGGGGTGCATACAGTAAATCGATGATGAATGAAAGTACACGTTATCTTTATTAACTAAGTAAATGCAATTTATATAAAGTACAAATAAACAAAATTCGTTCCTTGCAATAAGTTGACAATTATGTCAAATATACCAACTTAAATGGTGATAAATTTGTTTATTATTGTCAATTCCATGGAAACAAAGCAATATACAAAGAAATACATTAAATTAAGATTTTAGAAAATAAGTAAAATAAAGAATGAAAATGTTATTTCTGAATTTCAATTGACATATTCTGAATTACAATTGTTACTGTCTGAATACTATTTGTAATTTCTGAACATCAATTGCTACTGTCTGAATATCATTTGCAGCTACTTTCTGAATATTATTTGAACTATCTGAATTACATTTGCTATTTTCTGAATTTCATTTGCAATATCTAAAAATCAATGGCTGCTTTCTGAATATCAATTGCTACTTTCTGAATATCAACTGGAAAAGGTGTAGTGCATTAATTTACTAATACTGGTATTAGGGATTGCATTACCGGTTACCGATTTACCGGTTTACCGATTTACCGCCTTAAAAGTTCTTTAAATTACCGACGAAAAAATCGACATCTTTTACCAGTAATTTCGGTAAAAAATGTCAAGCTGACAACAGCGCGGATCCGTTGTTTTTGTGAAACAATTTGTACTAAGATTAGGTCGCGGCTAAGTGATAATAGTATTGATAAGCTGTGTTTTCTCAGGGCCCTTTTTATTAAACAAAAAAAATCGAAAGAGTCGTTGGAAAAGTAAGAAACGATAGGTATTTTTTTATTTAAATTACTATTTCGAATGTTTTAGGGCCTGTTACTAGTCTTTAAGTTAGGTATACACGTATTAGTTTTTTTTACCTAGAGTTTTACTTTTCTGTTGTTATTATTTAATAAGAATTAAAGTTTGGTTATTTATTTTGTTGCTTATTTCTTTGTTATTTTTTATGTCGGTAAAAACCGGTAAACCGGTAATTTTTTAAATAATTTACCGAATTACCGGTAAATTAAAATTCGGTAAATTTGCAATCCCTAACTGGTATTAAATGTGTTAAGAGTTAAGCTTAATATTGTAGAGTTATCAATTTTAGTTTAATTTTTAAGATAATGTAATTAATACTAAATATCAAGACATACTTAAATAATAATAATATTAACCTGTTTTATCCAAGGGTCAAAAAATTTTTTTTTGATAATATAAAACTATTTTTAATTGGATTTAATTTAGTGATTGCAATTAAAACATTTTATTGGTTCACAGTAAATTTCATTTTATATGAACTTAATAAAGATTACATTCTTAAAATTATAGAGAGTGGATTCAAGGTAAAAAGCGTAATATCATAAAGTTATATCCTGTATATGCAAAGCAAGTTTCTCACAAGTCCAAAAAACTTGCATTCGGGTCATTCCATTACAAACGATACTGAGGGTGACAAAATAAATATGTTCTTTTCGCATTAAATCTAATGAATTTTAAAAGAAAACATTCCAAATTATAATGTGCGACAAAAAAAAATTAGAAGAAACGCGTAATTTTTAAGTTAAAAATATGTACTCAAGTGAACAGGCTGAATGACCATTGTGTCCCTAACTATTGGAAATACGAACAAAAATAACTGTCAAGCTGTCAACCCTTTGGGTGTTACAACTTTTTTCATACGTAGATATATGTGTGTATTGCTTGAAGAATGTAATAAGTATTTTTTTTAAGGCTCTTTCGACGGCCCACTACCACCGCCATAGGAAAAGCAGTTACACCACTTTTGAAGAGGTATTTCTATCGAAATGGCAACGGACCTACAAAAAATACCAAATACTATGATTTTCGTCAATAATTATCTTAAAGGAGAATTCATTCTATTAATGTTTATTTTATTTACTTATTTTGTAGTATTTTGAGACTAATAAAACACCGACTTTGTACATATAAAGTGTAAATAAAATTTTTGTACTTGTAACATCCGAAACAAAGTAAAATTTTATAACAAAAAATAGTAAAACGTTATTTGTGACAGTGATTATGTGGTAGATGGTAGTAGATATACTTTTGGAGGCGTGTAGTTTATAGGAATGTTTCCCTAAGAAAATTCGCTAAATTTCAAATAAATGTAACAATGGTCAGGACTAGAGATGTGACTTGAAAAAAAAACGGTCCGCTTTTTTTGTTTTTTTTCATTGTTTTTTTTTTCAAATGGTTTTTTTTTTCAAATTTTAGGTTTTTTTCAAGATTAGTCCCATTTGCCTAATTTTTTAGGTTTAAAAATTAGCCACTAAATGACAATTAATAAATCTAAATACAGTCTCGCGCTATGCACGCGCCACCACCACCGAAGGGCCGCGCTTGTTATGATTTGGTCCTAAAAAAAGTAACAACATATAATATTTTTGATTCAGCGCTTGATTTTTCAAAAAGCTACCAAAAGCACTTTTTTCATGATTTTTCAAATTCATGTAGAGTATGGAATTTTTTTTCAAAAAAACAATAGCAAATTCTTGTACAACATTTATTCATTGGTGGTTAAGTCAGAACATTCCGTGGACCAGAAAGCCAAAAAAAATCGATTTTTTTATTACGGTATTCGTTAGGATTGAGCGTTGCACATTTTTCATCTAAAAATCTCAAAACTAGAAACTTCAAGCTTCAAATTGCTTTTTTTACGGCTCCAATACGACCATTTTTAACAAAGATACAGCTATCCGAAGAATCGCAAAACAATTTTTTTTATCCTTTAATTTTTTGTATTAGTGTAGAAGTTTTACATTGCTACTGGTTTCTAATGTGGAAACTACCAAATAATAAGAAATCAGATTTTTTAGCCTCGGTCAAAAGTTTCAATAATGAAAAATTTAATATATTCTACATTTAACTTTATTATTAATATATATTTTACTCAAAATTTAATTTTGAAAAAAAAACCGTTTTTTTACATCTCCAGTCAGGATCGGCAGGAGGCAGAATCGTGAAACACCGGAAACGCACACTTTTCGACTTATAAAATAGTTATTATATATCCTAAACTGTACTAATTTTACAATTTAGATAGAACAACTAAAAACGTAGAGAATAAGGCACTTTAATTTAAAATATTATTTAAAAATACATAAATTTGACTTTGGTTGAACAAATGTAATACCCGAAAAGATGGAATAACCCATATCCTGTATATGAAAGGCAAGTATTTTGGTAGAAAAACTTGCATTGCTTGAAGACTTTCCCCTTAAAATTTTCACAATATTTAGATAGAAAATACAAAGCTAGAAGCTTCACTTACCTTTCTTGTCCGGCCGTGTCCCATATCTCGAACTTGACCGTTGTGTCGTCGAGACAGATGGTCTGTGTGAGAAAGGCCGCGCCGATGGTGCTCTCCTGGTACTCGTGGAACTGACCTTTGACGAATCGCAGCACCAGACTGGACTTTCCCACCGCCGACTCGCCCAACAAGACCAGCTTGAACTGGCAAATTTTGCCCTGGGTGGAGCCGTTCGGTCTCTGGGCCTGGCCTGATCTTGTAGACATCTTAACTGAAATTTAAGAGAACGATTTTAGGCCTAACCATGGTACAAGAAAACAAGGTATGTCTTGCGCATTTGTTTCCACTACTCTATCAGATTGGCGAAGAGGTGGGAGCACCCAGTCGCCGCCATATTGACTATTTCCATTTTGAAGTGAGTTGTTTTTAAAGCTATTTTAAGGTTTTGTAAGTGTAAAAAATGTCTACCTGCCAGGTGAAAATCTGTAAACACAATGCCAAAGAAAAAACCTGGAAATCCAATGCATTTCTTTAGTATGGGCTTGAAAAAATTGATGTTAAGGATAGTAGGTAAGTATATTTATTTTAAAAACAATTAAATAGCAGTAGTTTTTTAGAGTTACTTTCCTTTTGTATACACAGATTATCTGTGACTGATGTATAAATAAAAAAATAATTTAGTTTAATGTTTTAGGTTAATATTTTTGTTTTTTTTTTTGTAGCTTGTTCCATTTACTTCGAAGATAGTTGCTATAAGAAGGAAAATTGGATCGAAAAAACATACAAACATCATTCCCATATAAAAAAGTCTTCAAAAGTGGATAAGGTGACAAATTTACACCTACACTTTGTAAAAAATTAAAATTCAAATGGAAAAATATAAATCATAGTTATTTTTCAGGGCTGGCAAATATCGTGATATTTATATAAATATCCAAATTTATGATATTTATCAATATATACAGGGTGTTCCATAATTAGCGTGAAATACTTTAACAGAAGATTCTACGTATAAAAATAAGAAAAAAAGTTCCTATAAACATAAGTCGAGAAATGCTTTCTAAGGGAGCTAGAGCCCCCGAAAGAGGAACCCCTGAGGATGGTTTTTATTTAATATCTCCAAAACCGTTTAAGAAAGAAAAGTGAATTTTTGGGAATTGATCAAACTTTGTATGGCCAATAAGATGTAATATTAACAATTTCAAAATTTACATGATGGGTGGTCGGATAGATAGGGAGTAGGGGTTAAAACCACCCCAACTTTTTTGTACGGGTCTTGTGCCAGGATTTGATATCAGATTATAAAATTTTGGAGTTTTAGATATAAAAAAGGTCATCTTGTTGAAGTTTGATATCATGCACCGTTTTCTCTTAAAATCGATTTGAAAATTACCTTCCATGGCATAAAAATTCGTAATGAAACTAGATTTAAAGGTTCAGCGTAGGCCATGGAACACGGCCTGCCATGTTTAGAAAAGTTATTCAAGACAGGTGGCAGTTTCATGTAATAAGTGACAGGGTGTTTAAAAATTGTGTTTGAAATTACCCTTTTTTAGAAATAAAACTGTCACCTATCTTGAATAACTTTTCCTAAACATGGCAGGCCGTGTTCTATGGCCTACGCTGAATCTTTTTATCTAGTTTCATAATGAATTTTTATGCCATGTAAGGTAATTTTCAAATCGAATTTAAGCGAAAACGGTGCATTATATGAAAGTTAAACAAGATGACCTTTTTTATTTATAAAACTCCAAAATTTTATAATCTGATATCAAATCCTTGCACAAGACACGTACAAAAAAGTTGAGGTGGTGCTAAAAATGAAATGGCCTGGGATTGAAACATCCCAAAAAAAGCTTATACCATACCGTAATATATTTTTCACAAGTTTAGTTTGTTTGTTGGCTTCATGTTGGCCATTTTAGGGTTTTTATTTGGCAACTAAACCTAAATTGCAATTATTTGAAAATACAATTTTGTAATAAATAAATTTAGATAAAATATGTTGTTTGCATTTTTCTTGCAATGTTAATGTTGTAACAGCTATTTGAAAACCCATTATTGAAAATATTTAACCCAAGGGGTCACCCACACCTGGGAATCCCTGGACATTTTAGAGGGGGAATACCATAGGAATACAGCAGTTGCTCCTTTAGTGCTTGTCGTAACGTTTTTGTAAATACAGGCAAACAGTCAATTACTTATAACCTAATATTAAAGTTAGTATTTGTCCCAGATTTTTATTGGTACATTGCACAGTGTGTTAAATTAATTATCTAGCTAGACAAAACCTAATTTAAAAACAACCTGAAATAAAGACAAATTTTATTAAATAAGCTTCTTCAGTTCTCCCTGTTATGATTTCCATTACTTAGAGCGTACTGCAACAGTGTATTTAGCACTATGCAGGCGCCAGTTCCGGGCGTATCATTTTTTATAAACATACTTAGCCGTGTATGCGTTGCAAAAAGGTGGTTTGATTTTGACATTGTGTCAAGTTAAATCAAATTTTGAACTGTGCAGCTATGGATCTAGGTATATATTACTTATTTTTTATTATTAGGGATTTATAATATCAATAATCAGCAACAGGCTATAGATATAGAAATTCACTTGGTGTTATTAAATATGGACAATATTTATTAAGCAAAAAGTATGGTAATCGAGCAATATCGGGTGCACTATCAATATTTGTTTTGTTTTATAACGTCTACAGATTACTGATGTGCCTTTATTTATTGCCCCAATTTGCCTGTTCTACAGGGTGTAACCAAAAACCGACGCACTCCTTCTCCACTAGTAAATTTTGGAATAGAGTTGAAATTTGGGAGTAATAATTAATTTATAATTATTTCAACCTTCAATGGATACCACCCGGTATCCGGTTTCCCCGGAAATAATGCCAACTTTCGTTTTCTCAATAAAATACTCTGCATATTTTTGTATATTCAGGATAAAATTTTGAATTCAATACTTACACTATCGCGGGATTTTTAAAATGATCTTAATTTTTGTTGTAATTTAAGTTTTTAGTGGAAAACACTAAACAACTTTTTATGACATTGGTGAGTTTTGATTGGGAAAAACATATGGCATTTTAAAAAGATTTGTATGGTATTTAAAAAAGTTCAGTTAATTAAAAAAAACAATTGATCTGCAACATTTACTATTTATGCATTTAATTGCAAATTTGGATGGTAAAAATAATTGATTCTTCAAATTGCAGCTTTCTGGATTAAAAAATAAAATTTTAAGGTCAATTGCAAAATGGTAGCGAATGTGCATCTATCAGATTCAAAATTTTCTCCAGATTTCAAATATACAAAAATATACAGGGTGTTTCTTTGGAAAAACTAAAGTTGACCAATTTTCGACGAAACCGAAAGTTTATTTTTTATTGCAAGGCGCCGGTCATTTCGTAATGAACGAATTTAATTTCTGCATTTTGGATGTCAGATTTGGATTCAGTGAACCCAAATTCCCCGAAAACAGAGAAAATTTATAATTTTTTATGTCATTAAGGTTTTGTCTAGCTAGATCATTAATTTCACACACTGTGCATTGGAGTGTTGTGGAATATTTTCCGGTGTTTCCGAAATACTAGAGGTGGGCTGTTCGATACAGAAGCCATATCGATACGATATCGATATAATTTTCAAAATATCGCTTATATCGATACAATTTCGATACGGTTAGATTTAGAAAAAATAAAAACTTTTATTAAATGAATTTAATTATTAGGAAGGTAACGAAAAAAAAATAGGTATATGAAAATTTGCAATTTTTTTCGCAATTGTTTACAATGTAAACTTGAAATAACTTAAAAGTCAGTTGCCAAACCAACCAAACCATAGAAAAAGTACCAAACCAAAGCCAAGACTAGTTTAGAGATAGCCTCTTAAAAGTCAGCAGCAATACCAACCGTCAGCCTTGATCGAACAAACTAATTAGCTAAATAATCGATACAATGTATTCGATACATACATTTTTATCGATTCTAACGATATCCCGTCCGTATCACTTGTATCGATACGTATCGTATCGAACAGCCCACCTCTACGAAATACTGTTTAGTGCTTTTCTTTGAACAAAAGATTGTTTTATTGTTTGATTTTGTATGAAAAACAGACAAATAATAAGACTTTTGATGCACTTTTTTCAGATTGCCATAAGTATTAAAAATACAAACAAAACATAGATCAATTTATATTTTACTTGAGTAAAATGTATATAAGGTTATGTTCGTATTATTCATAGTATATAAAATATAAAGTAAAAACACTTTCATTCACAATTCTATTCTACTATCTACGTTTTTATAGTTTTGCATACAAATTTATAATTTCTCAGACATGGGTAAAATGTATATAAGGTTATGTTCGTATTATTCAAAATATACAGGGTGATCCAGACTTGTGGTTACAAAAGCTCAGGGGACATTCCTCTAATCAAAATATGAAAAAAAGTTCCTATAAACATATGTCCGAAAATGCTTTATTATCGAGATACAGGGTGTTTCGTTTAAAAAATGAGTTTTTTATTTATAGCTTAAAAACGCTTTGGCCGATTTTATTAAAATTTATATGGTTTATTAAATAATAAATGATTCAAAGATGATAAAAAATCACGTAAAGTTCCTCTAGCTTAAAAATTTACCTTGAGTTTTAATTTCCCAAGTGTCAAAAATGTTAGAAATATTGAGGCCCCCCACCTAATGTCGGCCCCAGGGCTTAATTTGGCACTTCAAATACATATGAATACAATGGAATATAATGAGAATACATGGGACCCCTTGATTTAACCTAAAATTAAATTTTTCTTAGCACTTTTTTCATTTATTTTATTTGGTAAATATTATTTACTTTAAAACAGTATATTTTATTTGATTGAAAATCCACATAAAATGGTTTTCTTTCATGAAATGTTGATATAGTTTTTTACGTGTGATCAATTATTCGACAATTTAATATAAAAATCGAATAATTTTATGAAAATTTGGATGTATTTCATAAGGGAATAGTATTTAAATTTAAAATATCATTTAAATTCAAAGGCGGGAACGAACTAAGATGGCGGTAACTGGGTAACTGAAAACATACCTTGTTTTCTAGTACTATGGGCCTAACCTTTGTTTTATCTTAAATTGATTTTAATTTTAATGCATTAGTTACTTAGAATTATTGGAGACAACTATTAGCTCGATTTTATCAAGAATGATTAGATCAAAAATATAATTTTTAAGTTAATATTTTAGTTTTACAAGATTAAATTTAAATTTTTAAAAAGACAATTTCCTATAAACAACGATTAATAAATTTATATAAATTAACGGATGATAAAAACCTAGTAACAAAATAAAACACAAAGGCCATCATTATAATTTGATGAGAAGTGTTTCCATTATTTTCTGTATTACTTACTTACTCCACTTTAAACACAGCCAATGTTTCACTTTTTGCAATTTTTACTTTAAATAAGTTAACAATAAAAAAATTGAATTTCCCATTTATCATTTACAACGCTTAAATTCCTGCATGAAATTATATCTTAATTACTGTAATTTGCAACCACAATTAAATAAAATACTACAGACACCTCATTATGAAACAAATGCGTCTATAACTACAATTTTGGGAGGTATATAAATATTAATATTATTAAATGGAAATTGAATTTTAATACCCAAGGTAAAAAAAAATTCTCAGAAATGAAATTTAATCATTGATGACATCATCAAACATTGTAATGTAAAGGAAGGTATAAAACTATGTAATTTTACTATTTCAAACCATCAAATTTAGGTAATGTTGTTTAAAAGTGAGGTTAGACAATATCTGTCATTCGGACAGATACAAATTTAAAGGTTATGTTGTTAAAGAGTGAGGTTAGACAGCAACTGTCACAGTGACAGTTGCTGTAAATTTAAATTTATCAAATTTTTTTTATTAATTACTGTAACAACGTGGATTATACCAAATTGTATTGTATTGGTTTAAATTCAGTTGCACTAACAAACTAGTCAAAGCTTGTGAAAAGAAACACTGCGATTTCAAGTGAAATTAAATATTGTATAGAAAACACCGGAAAGACATAACATAAACAGCAGTTATTGATTTTAAAAAATACCTATACCTACGTTAATATGCAGTTAATATGCGTACACACAAAAATGGATAAATAATTTAAAAAACACATTGTTTATTTTAATACCGAATTAAAATATTATTATTTAAAGCTTCAATTAACTTTGAAAATGTTATAATAGGCCACTTATTGTTTATTATAGGTAATATAATAACACAAAATCAATGTCAAAGATTAAAAACACTTACTCAGAGGCAATTAACTGAACTTTAATAAATCTATGCGGGGTGTATTATTAATAAAATCGGGGATAACAACGTAAAAATAGACGTAAACGTCTGCTTGGAAATGTAAATACACTTATCCATTGTGTTTTTAAAAAAGTCGCGTATGATTTGTGAATTATTTATGAAATACGTTTGCTCTTTATCGCTATATTTACACATAACAAGTGTATGCATAAAGATCAACATTTTATCTTGAACGGCACAACTTTAAATGCACCAGAGATTATCACTAGGAGTATTAAAAAAACGCAAAAAACAGGGATTCGTAAAACTAATAACAAAGAAGGGGGGCGTATAAAACACGGATATAACCGTTAATCAAGGCCGTGAATACCAAAAAATCAGCTGACCAATTAACTGCACCACTTTATTAATAACTAATAGAATTAATCAACAGGTTTGGTAAGATTTTTTACTCTGCTCATAAAACATGAAAGGGTATCATAGGAATTATGACGCATTTGACACGATAAAAAACATTGCAACTGTCTAACCTACCTTATGCTGGAGTTCTTCTAAAGCTTAAATATGAGATCAACTTTCACTATAAAGATTTTCACGTTCTTTCGACATAAAAACACTTTTCTAAATTATTGTTTTTCCGACGATAGCACCAATTTAACAATGAACAAAATTAATGGGGACAAAATGACAGCTACGACACGATCACTGCTACCAACTGAAAACTAAAATCCCCCAATCAGATTAGCCACATCATAATAAAATTATTTTACTTATTCCGTTTAAAAAGTTTTGACCAAGCACAATAAAAACACATTAATTACGAATACCATTTATTTAATAAAAATTGAGCTTAGACACAATATTTTAAAAATCAAAAATATGAAAGCTGTCAAAGCGGGAAATTTAAACTTCAATATTTGATTTGTTTATATCTTACATTTTTATTTAATGAAATGGCTTCTAATAACGGCAAATACATCGACAGATCTCCCTATTTATGCCCTGTAATAATAAACAAAAAAAAAACACATTTTTTTACTTCAAAAATTTATTTTAGGCTGGAAAAATATTCGGAAAACCCGATGAAACCGTTAGACATACTTTAACGGAATTTGCCGACGATGATAAAATAGAGGCATTGCAACATGACGCTAAGATTTGGCAAAAGGAACGATTCATAGATCCTGTGCCTCTACCGAACGCCAGAAATGCCGATTTTAACAGAACTGAAACTGAAGTAGGTAAATGCGTTTTTATACAGTAGTGCGTAAAGTGGCAGGTTACGCCCTTAAGATCTCCATTTGAAGATTTTCCATAAAATGTCTTCTATAATGTGATCAAGGGGTCAACCACCCAAAGGAAAAACCATTTCCATTGTATTCCTATGGTATTCCCCCTCTAAAATGTCCAGGTGTGGGTGACCCCTCGAATGTGATGTATGATTTTGTGAGGCATTAGACACATTCAGAAATAATTTTAGATTTTTTTACAGCACAGATCCCAAGTAAATAATTTTTAAAGTTACATTTTTTTCCAACGCCATTTTTTTATATTGTATCTTACCAGCTTCTTTCAAAAATTCGTTTTTAAACCCATGTCAACAAAAAAAGGCCATGTTGATAGCTTAAAAATTGATTATTACAGTAGGTTTATTTTTTATGGAAATTTAAAATTTAGCCTATTTTAAAATTTAATTTCGTGCTGCCAACTTATGGAACGCAAAAATATGACAGTTTTAAACCTTAATTTTGCCATTACAACAACAAATGGACAATTTATATTGATACTTATTTACAGTTTATGTTGTTTTTAGTTTTTAATGATACTTTAATTTACAATACAGTACAAACTTATACTAGTTACCCGGACAACAATCGGGATTTCCTGGTGAAGTCATGATGATATCACAACGTGATTTTTTTTTCACGCTGTGATATCCTAAGTGCATACACATGCTTCATCACAGTGATATCATGCAGAACTCACGGTGTGATATTTGCAAAATTTGCGCATGCGTATGAGCCCTGCGAACTGCGAATTTTCGTGATATTCATACCGAGGGGTCAACCACCCAAAGGGAAAACGTCCAGGGATTCCCATTATATTTTATTGTATTCCTATGGTATTCCCCCTCTAAAATGTCCAGGGATTCCCAGGTGTGGGTGACCCCTCGATTCATATGAACATCACGTCGTGATTTTCACAAATTTTATTTATGCTGATATCATACGGAATTCACCGCGTAATATGAACGTCAAGTCGTGATTTTCACAAATTTTATTCATACGGACATCATCCGGATGTCACCAGTCACGTTCGAGTGCTCGTCAAAGTTAGTCGCATCTTGCATCTTGCCGTCGCGCTCTTGAAACTTACAAACAGCAATGCTCGCGACTCGCGTGCGGGAGAGCTCTTGAAACGTAAAAGTTTAAAGATGAAACCAACAATAATTAAAAAAAAAAAGGGGTGCGAACTGATAAGTGAAACAAACATTTTCATGGAGTGCAAGCTAAAATGGTGTAACGGTCATTGAGGAGTGGAGTGTTGGGTGATATGAATGACTTGGGTGCCACCTGTCATTGGAGGCTTTTCACTGGACGGACGGGGGAGGTCGGAGAAGAGGGGAGGTGGCCATCCGCAAGGGGAAAAATCTGATAAGAGTATGCATGACCTGATACAAATCTGCAATATAAATACGGCAGATCGAAGCAGGCATTTTCCGTTATTTGTCACCATTAACATTGCCCGTATTCATTTCATTAAACATAACATTTATTTTACTTGAAAATGTTAAAATGACTTTAAAATATGATTATGTTAAGAACATATTTTACTCTTTAAACAATTGTTTTGTTTTTAATTACTATCATTGCAAAATTGTATTAAAAAGTGTGAAAAATTCTTACACGGGCAATGTTAATGGTGATAGGTATCGTTAAAGTGTTTATTGGGATATCTTTAAAACCTATGAAGGGCACGCAGCGTGGGGCAATAAGTCTGTCAACAGCAAATGCGTAAGGCGGTCCCAATCGAGACCGAAAATAAACACTGGACTGACAGAGTAAACTAACATTGACCATAATTCTAACACATTAAAAAAAGGGCCTAATAGCCAAACTCGAGTTTGTAAACATTAGACAACAGAATAATCGCGCTTGTGATTTGTTTGACTATAGGAATAAATGCAATGCCTTGGAATTCGATAAACAAAGACGGAACTCTACCACAAAACGTGCTTGGGACAAAAATTATTAAAAACAACTGACACACTTTACCAAGGGCAGGAACTATCTGACCAGGACACGGACAATGACAATAACGAACAAGACAAGACCTCGACTAGGTGTATACACCCCTGCAGCGAAATAACAACTCCCCAACTCCAAATAGTAATCCCAAATGTTTGGAGTAATACTAATCGACTGGTCTAGGGGGATTCCGCGTCGTACTTAGTTTTAAGTCGGCGTAATTGTCCCCCAAAAACCAACTCCCTCCCGTCCCTCATCCATACCCCACCGAGCGTATAGCATAGGCTCGGCGAACCCGGGAATGGCTATTATAACTATTCGCCTCTCGCTCTCGAGCCCCAAATAGGGGACAGTACCCCTGATAGCACAGTTTATTCTAAGAATGTTTTTTAAACCTTCCAGTGAGAATATTCTTAGGATCATGCTATATTACTTCTAGTCATGTTCTAAGAATGTTTTTTAAACCTTCCAGTGAGAATATTCTTAGGATCATGCTATATATCTTCTATAGGCATGTTCTAAGAATGTTTTTTAAACCTTCCAGTGAGAATATTCTTAGGATCATCCTATATTTCTTCTAAAGAACATGCTTAAAAGAAATATAGCATAATCCTAAGAATATTCTCACTGGCCTCTAGGCAGGTTCTTAGAAGGTGCAAAGTTTAGTGGTAAAAATTAATCTACTCTAAACATATGCTTAGAATGTTGAGAAAGTAATTAATTAGTATTAAATAATAAGTAAAAAACAACCCAAAATATTTTTTATAGTTATTTATCAAATTAAAACAATATTAGATAACAAAAATACTTTTACTATAGGTATTTTATTTTATGTTAAAAATAAATATTTATTAATTTGTATACCGATTTTTTATTTCTGAATTAACATTTTTATGTATAATAATCTTAACTATCTTCAACTTCAATCTAATCTGACTTATCCCACAAAATTTTCCAATTTTACTTTTTATGAAATAATGTCATACAACTTATGGTTTAGAGGTCAAATTGTTTATTTAATATTTTTAAATAAATATATATTAATGTCGCAAAATTTTTTAAGGGGACGACAAATACATTTCACTGTCATATTATGACAGTGAGGCGTATTTGTCGCCTCCTGAAGAATTTTACGAATGTAGAATCCAACATATTAGAACCTGGGTATCTGACATATTTGGAAATATTCTCAAAAGCTTCCTAGAAGCTCAATAAGAAACCTTCTGAGAACATTCCAAAAACGTATTCTTAAAATGTTCTTAGATTGCTTTTTAGGAAGGTTTTAAGAAGCTTCTAAGAATCTACTTGCATCATTAAAAGGGTATCTATTGAATGTTTTAAAAGTCCCTAAGAACATTCTTAGCAATAAGGGAAGGTTCTAAGAATATTCCATTATTCCGAGTCGTATCTTCTTAGAAGATTCTTAGAATCAAATTTTGCTATCAGGGACGGAACGCAATGGACATTCGCACCCAGCAAACACGGGTGAAGCCGTGCAGTTGCTGGGAAAGAACAAAAATCGGCGTAAGTAAACATAGGCCTGTACGGGGTTCGAGAGTCAAGAGGAAATGGGGCTGGTTATACGTCTCTTATACTCATACTCATACATCATCCGGATGTCACTGCGTGAGAAATGAAAATCATGTCGTGATTTTGTATGGCATCGCTGTTTGCGATTGACCGATGGAACAAAAAATCATGTCGTGATTTTTTATGCCAACGGTGTTTGGATAATCATTTTTGCGCCACGTTCGTACAGTACAGTACAGTACGTAAGAGAAAAATTATGTTGAATCAACAGTTTTTGCGGTTAAATACATTTAATATTTTCTTGGATTTAAACTAACCATGTATAATTAATTTAAATCCAAGAAAATATTGAATGTTAAACTGTTGACTCAATTGTTAACATACTAAAGCTTTTTCTTTCAAAAATCATGTTGTGATTTTTTATGCCATCGGTGTTTGGATATTTATTTTTACGGCACATTCGTACATTGAGAGAAAAAGTATACCTACATATATGTATATTGAATCAACAGTTTTTGTGGTTAAATATATTCAATATTTTTTTCGATTTAAATTAATAGTTAATTTAAATCCAAGAAAATATTAAATGTATTTAACCGCAAAAACTGTTGATTCAACATAATTTTTCTCTTAGTGTACGAACGTGGCGCAAAAATGATTATCCAAACACCGTTGGCATATAAAATCACGACATGATTTTTTGTACCATAAATGGCAAACGGCGATGGCATAAAAAATCACGACATGATTTTCATTTCTCATGCAGTGACATCCGGATGATGTCCGTATGAATAAAATTTGTGACAATCACGACGTGACGTTCGTATGATTTTCATTTATCACGCGGTGACTTCCGTATGATATCAGTATGAATAAAATTTGTGAAAATCACGATATGATGTTCGTATGAATATCACGAATGTTGTCCGGGTAATTAATCTTAATGTTAATTTGTGCTGCAAAATTCCACCATTAGAGTCTGCAATTTTACTTTTATTTTAATTTAACTACCAAGTACCAATATAGTGACTACTTGGTTTCTATAATCATCATATTTTTTCTTTAATAAAATACTTTAAAAATTATTAATATAAATTATAACAAATACTATAGTATACAACCGTTCTTATATCTTTAGGTTAAAGCACTTGTGCAACCTGGAGTAAAGACAAGATATGCAACAGTTTTAAACGATTTAAGTGAGACAGTTTACCAATCTTATTGGAGAGCACCCCTTGGTAAGGTTCGGGATCCAGTTCCTAATTTGCCTGAAGGAATGAATCCTGAGGAATTTACTTTTGGAATGCCATCCAAAAGCGGTAAAATCATAAAATAAATAAAAAAAATGAGTTCTATATAATGTTTTTATTATTTTAGATATGACTGTTAAAGAATTGTTAAATCCTCCAAAAACTGTGTATGAAGTTTTGTATGATAGCCAGGTGGCTCATGACTGGTACATTAAAACACATAATGACTATAATCCTGGAGAACAAGTTAATAGAAAGTAATATAAAATATTTTCGTTTTAATTAAAAAAAAATTTCCTACTTTCACTTTTAAAACGCCTATTATTGTACTGACATGATTCCATGACCCCAAGTGATCTTTTAAATACACATTGACAAGATCGGTTTCTGTCAGATCTATCTAACCTCACTTTCTACTTTTTTACGTTTTACCACTGTTTTTAAAAGCGATGGTTTTATGTGTTGTATAACAAATTAAACTTGGACCTTAACTCACTAGCAATTGTAATATTTAAGATATGAGAGTCCATACCAAAAGGACAGAAGATACGGGGAAAATTATAATTACGACCCCCGCGGAATCGGGGCCAAACGTGCTACAACGTGGTTCATGTTAATGCCGTACACGATATGCAATAAAATTAAAACGGAATACGACGACAAATGGAAACGTACGATTGGCTGCGTATTGACACCGTAAGCAGATAAACCTGTTTGTTTCAATAGAAAATAATTGTTTAATTGTTAGTAATAACAACGAAAAACTTGTCCCCCCTGGCCACACCTATGGAAAACCCTCCAAGTGGGATAAGTACGGCGTGGAAGACTTGTTGAAGAATGCTAGATTGAACCCATGCGAATTTAAGAAGCAGTTTTTATTGTGGATTCAATCGCTCATTTCTGTTAGAGACTCCGTTAAACGATTGAAAAAAAACGGATTAAATATGGACGTGTTCCTACAAGAAATTGTTTATTACGACCAAGTAAAAAATATATATATTTATTAGGGTGATTCCAAAAACCTAATTTTTTTTGACTTATGATATAGAAAAAGAAGTCTATCTACGTTTGACCTCTTAATATTAAGAGTAAGATCCTCCTCATTGCAATTTTCCATCTCACATTAGTCAGATGAAAAACATTTTGTATCTTGGTAATAAATGAATATCTATATAAGCCCAATACATATTTTAATGGGGAATTAAATGCTCTACTAAAAAGGTATGTTTTTTTCGTAAACTACAAACTAATACATTCAAAATGTTATAACTTGCAGATTAGTTAGGATTTTGAAATGAGTACCTAGTAGGTACCTACATATTTTTGTTGAACTGATCTACAAAAATATTCTTTTGTTTTTTCGATAAATGTAAGCGTTTCAAAGATAATCGCGCGCGCGGAATAATAACAAATTTTGTTTAATTATTTAAAGTATATCCCGTATGGCCTAGTGATTAGAATAAGCCCAATACATATTTTAATAGGGAATTAAATGCTCTAAAAAAGGTATTTTATGTCTTTTTCGTAAACCTATCTTGGTAAAATTTAAAAAAAAATAACTTTTTAAACTTTTTAAATTTTGACCGAAGATATCTTTTAAAATGCTAGGTTTACAAAAAAGCATAGGATAACTTTTTTGTATAGCACTCAATACTTGTAAAAATATTTATTTCCAATTTTTCAAAGAAAAGTCACTTTTCATAATTTCTTCTGCTTGTTAGGTATATAAATATTATTCAGGATGAGAAACTTCTATTTTGTTATACAGGGTGCGCAAAAAAAACAATTGTAGATTTTGCAAATTAAAAATATTTTTTTTAAGGTCTAATATGAAGAACTTGTAAGGAGAAACCAAAAAGCCAAATAAAGTTTTTTCATGTGAGTTGTTGTAACTGAGATATTTGTTATTAAAAATAAAATCAATTCAGGTTCTAACTTGAGTGGTCCTATTATTTTGTAGAAATTGACTGCTATCTCATTTTGTGATTATAAATCAAGGTTGTTGCTTTCAACTAACATGTCTACAATATCTACTGTCTACAATATGTCTACAATATCTACTGTAACAACAATTATTTGTTAAAATTTGAAAACTAATATCTTAAATTTTCAATATCAAAAACCCATATGAAAAAACTTCATTTGACTTTTTGATTTCTCCTTACCAACTCTTTATATTAGCGCTTCAAAAAAAAAATCCAAAATTTTTAAAATTTGAAAATCAGTATTTTTGCTCACCCTGTACAACTAAATGGATGTTTCTCCACGCGAATCGTATTTATATAACAAACAAAAGAAATTATGAAAAATGAGTTTTTCTCGAAATATTGAAAATAAATATTTTTACAAGTATAGTTAAGTCCATCCGTGGACACACTGTATATGTGTATTGGGCTTAGCTATATTTGTTAGCAAGATGTTTTTCACCGGACTATTGTAAAAATGGAAAATTGCAATGAGGATGTTACTCTTATTATAATACGCTCATACGTAGATATGTTTCTTTTGAGGTGGCTAGCAACCAATTTTTTCATATCAAAAGTCAAAAAAAAAAAATAATAGTAGATTTTTCTGTCTTCAGGACGATTTTCTTTATTTTACATCACATATCTAAAAATAATGCGGGAAAATGTCATTTCCTAATTTTCAACAGTAAATTTCCAGGAAAAAACTGGATTAATTTCAATAGAATATACCATTGAAAAATGCACAAACGCTAGGATAAATTTTAATGTGGACCACATAATGAAAATATGTATCTACAGTCATATTTTAGTAAACAATATGATTGATTACCATAGATTTTGTTATCTGATAGACCCAAAAAATCCAATGATAGATTTCAAGAAAATCCAAGGTAAATTTTCGTTAGTTAGTAGTTATATCTTCAAAAACTATGTTTTGCTTTAACTTTTTCTGAAAGATATACCTGAAGAACACTTATATTACCTGACAACCTATCAGGCAGCCACTTGCGATTGCCTCCAAATTGACAACTCTGGTAACATTACTTATATGAAGATTTGAAAAAACGGACTGTCATTTGTTGTTAATTTTTAGTACAACCAGTAGCTGGGATAACGTCTAGGCGTATCGATAAAGTACCTCGTAGACTTGATGGACAAACCACTGCTGATATAGACAACCTAGGCAATGATACCAACGCTAAGGCGGTTATTAGCCCCAATATTTACACCCATTATGGATTGACTTACAGAGATTTCTTCAAGGTAAAAAAAATAGGATTTTTTTTAGAAAATATAACTTTTTTCTCAAGCCAAGATCCCCTGAAGTGATAAAAACCCTGTTCGAAAAAATAGGCTACAAATTCCCAGAAAATTCCTTTGAAGACTTTTGGAAGATAGCTCTAGATGTAGATAAAACCGGCTTGGTGTGTGTGGATACCTTCAAAAACGTACTACACCATTGCTATCCGAAAGTAAAACCCGTGCTTGGTGAATGCTCAGAAACACTATAAAATGTATAATTTATTTTATTAAATACGAAAAAATATACATTATTATACAACTAACGTCTATCTCTACCTCTATGTTCTCTCGGCCGGTATTCTTCTCTGTGGTCGCTTCTTCTTTCCTCGTGACCTCTGTATTTTTCTCTTGCATCTTCTCTGCTTCTTCTGTGGCTTTCTTCGTCGTTGTTTCTGTATTTTTTAAACTTTTCCCTGTCGTCGTTTCTTCTATCTCTATAGTCTGGTTTGTTCCTCGGTTTATCCTCGCTTTTCTTTTTGGGTTTCTCATCTTCTTTCTGTTTCTTCTTTTTGTCCGGGGTTTTCAATTTTTTTGTTTTCTTCTTCCTGGAACCCTCGTCATCGGAAGAATCTAAATACAAAATGCATTAACATTCCCAACAAAAACTACGAGATGAGTACCTGAACTGCTGCTGGAATCGTTACTGGAACTGCTGCTACTGCTGCTAGAGCTGCTCGAATCTGCTTTCAAAGCCATCACTTCCAGATGTTTTGGTACGTTTTTCAAGTGCTCCCTTAACTCGTCCGTTAGGCCTCCTAAACCGATCGACGTGAAAAAATTGATGGCGAAACGCGTGTTCTTCGGGTTATCCCTCGGAAATAGCCCCGCGAAATATTCCTGTAAAGTTCTAAAAGAAAACGAAGAGAAACCTTGCATTTAGATTTTTATTTTTGATGGAAAATACAGCTTGTTTATATTAGATCTTGATGGTCCTGATTCATGATGTTATAGGACTCTATAGGTTTTCCTTAGCAGGGTAAAAATGTACCCCAAGAAGGACATTTTCCCCTTTTTTTCTGGTTCTTTTACAAGCAAATCTTGACAAGATGTTGTTTGGTCTAATTGACAAATGCGTTGTCAGTCAAGATTGTTGTCGATTATTGTCATACATACATGATGTGCTACATTATATACAAGGTGTTCCTGAAATGCCATGAGACAGAAATAATGTATTATTATTATAATTAAATGTACACAAGTTTCTAATAACTACAATCCACACAACAAGGGTTTGTGCTGTATATATTTTACTCCTCTTTTGTAAAAAACGAAGCTTATTCTATCAGGGCTGTCATCAAACTGTCAAATGTCAATTTTAAGGTTAACTTACCATAACGCACAAACTAACCTTGACCTTGACATTTGACAGTTTTGTGACAGCCCTGATAGAATAAGTTTTATTTTTTACAAAAGAGGAGTAAAATTGTTGTCCTTAGCATTTTAAGTGCCTCTGTAAGAAACAAAACGTTTAAAACGATTATTAATTTGTATAAACAGCACAAACCCAAGCACAAGAATTGTAAACAACAGAAAGTTCGTTTTCATTAAATAACTTAAAAAAAAACTTTTTGCACAAAATCTGTTTTTGTTTTTTTAGACCAGTATAATTAATTAAACTTTTAACGTAAGTTATAGTCTGCGATACATTGCTTGCGTTTAAATGGTCACATCTTTTTTGCGCCTTGGTATCCACGTTTTTAACAAAAATATTATTTTTTAATTTTTATTACGTAAAAAGGGTAGGTATACTTTCTAAATGTCGCTGCGAAAATCCGTTTTCGAGATATTTGCATTTAAATTGTTCAGTGCACCCATTTAACTGCGATTTGAAAATGTAATATTTTTTTAATTGTAGATTAAAATTAGGCTTTTAAAATTACAGAAAAAATTGAGCCGGCGGAAAAATTGAGAAATTTTCAGAAAAATTGACTTGCATTTTTTTTTATTTTATTCAAAGGGTAATACGAAAAAAATGCAAACGTCAATCTTTCTGAAAATTTCCAAATTTTCAAGGGTAATAATATCCGTACACTAAATTTGAGAAAAAAATCCAATATTATGATAATAATAATTTACCGGGCCGCAAAAAAATATATTCGGTGATGTATTCCCTTGCGGCCTTGAGTTCACGGTTTTTTCACCGTGAATTCACTGTGAATTCACCGTGAATTCACGGTGAATTCACCGTGAATAAACCGTCTGTTTGTGACATTTGTAAACGGTAGTTAGACGGTGAATTCACGCACTTTTCACAGTATTTTAATTGTGAATCCACCGTATTTTGGCGGTATATTCACGGTGAATTCACGGTAAATTCACAGTGAATTCACGGTGAATAAACCGTCAACTAAAAGGCCGCAAGGGTAGGTATATCCTATAGGTTTAACACGACTATAGCTAGCCATTATTCGTTACTGAGCAGATGAGAATTAATGTTCAGCTATGCCATTACAGACGCACACTTCCAACTAAATATTGCAACCCAACGCTATTTATAGTTAGCTCGCTTGCGTAAGCAGCCGTGAGATGTATTGAGTTCACTGTGAATTTACCGTGAAATCACCGTGAATTAACCGTGAAATCACCGTGAATTTATCGCAAAAACAGCGTGAGTTCACCGTTTAATTACCGTCTACAAATGTCACAAATGGACGGTATATTCACTGCACATAAACGGTGTATTCACGGTGAATTCACGCAAACGGTGAATTCACCGTAAACTCAAGGCCGCAAGGGTTAACATAACTTTTGTTTTATTTGACACTTTGATTAATAATAATAGCTATTTACATACCATGGGAGAAAAATAGTGCTTTTCCTCCCGCGAATAGTTTGATGCCCGACGCGAAGCGAAGGGCATTAAATATTCAAGGGAGGAAACGCATTTTCCTCCTGAGGTATGTATATAGTTTTTTCTATTACATTTTAACGGTTTTAAGACATTTTAAGCGTTCCGGTTCCTTTTACTAACCCGGTATGGGGCTATAAAATTATGACAAAATATTAAGTAGGTGTTGCGTTGCCGACGTAATGTTGACAACGCTTTGTTCCTATGGTATTTTTGGTAATACAAACATAACAGTTGTTATAAGCAGTCAAAATGTTTATCATAAATTTGAAATTCTTCCTACGTTTTGAAAATGAGTTCTAGCGAAGAAGACCTGCCGCAAAATCTTGCTGAAGAGGCAAGAATAGTTTAATTTCCTTCCTTAAAAATCGAAAGAGCGATATGAAAATGAATAAGCGCGGAGTAAATCTTTTTCCTACAAAATCAAATTGGGCTAGACAAGTTACAAAAACTTTTGTTAATGTAAAATTGTTAAAAAAAAAGAGAAAAAGAGGGAAGAAATTTTTTTTCCTCCTGGGGAGGAAAAGAGGCATTTTCCTCCCTCGCTAGGGGGTGGAAAATTAAGTTTTCCAGTTAGGTAGTAGAAAATAATATAAATTTGCAATTTAACTTTATAAATCATTTATTAAAAAAAAGACCCAACCGACAGTATATTTAACGTTTAGGTTTGTTCAATTAATAGCATTAATTGTATTATTTTTTTTCTGTAATAAAGGATTTTTTTAAATTAAAGTAATGTTAAGTTACTTTTATTTAAATGTGTATATTTTCCAAAAAAAGACAATTTTTCCAAGACCTTGAAAAAAAATGGAAAAAACAGGGCTTTCCCCAATTTTCCCGTTTTTTTTCGACACTTTAAAACCCTACTTACAATCATGATATTTTTTTTTTATTAAAACGCGAATAAACTTGTACACAAAAAATATGTGACAATTTAGAAGTATACTAGGTATCTACATTATTTTTTTAAAAGAAAAACCGATAGTATCAAATTTTGTGCGAAAAGGTTTTTTTTTCAGTTATTTAATAAAATCGAAAACGAACTTTTAACTTTGACACCCTTTATCTTAGTTATTATCAACTTAACGATAAAATTTTGTATAGAGGTAAATTTAGTTATATCGCATTATTTTGGTCTCGGGAATATGTGGTATTTCAGGTAAGGTATTTCAGGGACAACTTGTATATGAAGTGATGATTCTAAAAGTGATTTTAAGAGTAAACCTTTAATATTTCCATGCTACATCAGCACAAAAAATATTCACTTAGAATGGTACTTGATTAGATAAAAACAACATTGGTACTTACTCATCCTTTAGCCTTTTATTCAACTTCGCTAATCCCATATATTCGGACAACTCCTGGAACAAAATCTTGATGAAAATCCTGCTGGAACTGTTGGTGTCTTCCTCGTTTAATTTCATGATATCGAGCACTTCCCAGCCGATGGCGTCGGTGAACAATAAATGCGCGAAGAATTTGCTAACGTTTCTCAATCGATTGGCGTCAAGTCTGTGAGTTGTGGAATAGGTATCTTTGAAAATTTGTTGGAACGGTTCGATGAAAGTCTTGTTTATTTGGCAGAAGCGCTGCGAGAGGAGGCCGAAGAATTTTTCGTAGGTACGCTGTTCAGCGCAACAATCTGAACCCAAACACATAATTCGGTTAGAATGCGTTACAAAGGGTGTATGAATGTAGGCAACCCAGATGCCACGTGGATTCGATACGTTTAAGAAAAACACTAACATTGTAGTTGTTTGCGGTAGCATTTGGGTTGCCTACCTACATTCACTTTCGCTTAATATTAAGTGTTTTCGTAGTTTAGAATTTTAACGACTTTTCGTTCATTTATTTTTTGGAAGTAAATAATGTTTTATAAAATAGAAACAGTTCTGTTTTTATGTAAAAAATTCTTAGCTATTCTATAAAAATATTTAATTTAATTTAAATGAAATTTTTTTCTGGAAAAAGGTACATTTTACTTGGTATCCAAGGGATATAACTAAATTCTAAGCTTAGACACCTTGAAAAACAAAGTCATAAAACAACAAACAATTTTGACTCCAAATTCCAGGTGGTTTTTTTACTGATTTTCCTCAATTGTAAGTTAATTTAAGGTCAGTTTTGTCTCATTTTCACAAAAATAATTTACTTATTTTTGTACAAACTTTTTAGTTTATGTCACAAACATACATATGGGGAATTCTATGCTATAGCAGTCGATTTATAAATCGACTTTTTTATATTTTTATTACCCCCCTAAAAAAGTTTCCAATATTTTTTAAAATTTAGCCCAACTAAAAAAAAGTTTTCAAAAAATGCCTCTTTTTTAAATACCCATGACTTTTTTAAAATTAGACTAAAAAAATTGATATTAAATTCTATGAAATTTTGCAGTTTTTGAGAAAAAAGCTTTTTCTCAAAATCTTTTTTCTCAAAAAACATTTTTTCATAAAAAAACAATTTATTCTGCGAATAATGCTGCTAAATCCAGAGCGGGAATGAAAGTCGCTATCCTATTTTTTTTCATTTAAAATGTATTATTTTAAATTTTTTCACAATCGTTTATTTATTTACTTATAAAAACTTTGTTTTTATAGTTAATACGATTTATTTAATTTATCCACAATTCACATATTACATGAGCATAACGACATTTTAGTGAAGAATTTTAATCAGGCACGAGCGAGTTTGCGAGCGAGTGTTTAATTAAATAAGTGTCTAGAAAACTTTATAAACGAGTTGCATACTACACTTTTTCTTCGACAAATACTTATGATCTAAAAATGATTTAAATCAAATATTTTATTAGAGCGACACCTATAAAAAATAGAGTAACTCGGGTAAGAATTTCTTGGGAATCTGTATTCAGGCGCGGCAGTGAAAATGTTAAATTTGTATGTGGAAATCGAAATGTATCCCTTAAAAATGGACTAACAACCGCTAAAATGATGATATAGAAGCATTTTTTCATAGTGAAAGTGAAGAGAATGTTTTATGGGCACTTCACGGTGGAGTCTCCACCAGAAATTCGTAATGCTTTCAGTTAAATCTAGTTTACTGCCGGCGAAATCAAAAGGTCACTTCAAACTTGCATATAAACTTTTCACGTAGGTATTTGCGTTGAGAAATTATTTAATACTTTTTATTTTTGTATTGAGATAATAAAATAATTTTCACATTATTATTTCGTAAATAGGGCGCTTTATTTTAAAGATTTTATGACATTTGACGGCTGTCAACTAACTTAAAGCTAACTTCAGCCTGTGACTTAAAACATGTTGCTAACTTATTATTTCGGACAAAAACACAACCATCTGTTTTTTATAAGAAAAATATAAAATGGCGAACTTGAAAAATTGAAGGTTTTTCTAAAAAAAATTGAAGAATTTTATAGAACTTGACATTGAAAAAAAAATTCTTAGTGGGGTTCAAAAGTGGTCGATTTGGCGTTGAACGACCCATATATTATATTATTTTCAGAAAATAAGACAAAATTGGTGTTAAAATGACAAATACATAACCTCAATCGACTACAATTACTAGTAATAATAGTATATTACATTACAAGGGCAGAAAGTGTGAGTGCAGGGCTCTCACACTTTCTGCCCGTGTAGTGTATACTATTTTTCTTACTACCTCGACTGAAAATTCACTATTCACTTTTAGTCTTAAATAATATTCAATATTAACAAATAGTTAATTAACAAATTGAAAACAAATTTTGAGGTTATATTAGTGTCGTAATCAGAGTTGCATATGTTGAGTACTAGTGCACACGACTAAAAAATTTTTACTCCCGCTATTATAGAGGGTGCGCGTATAGCTTGACCAATGCATCAAACGTAAACTTTCTGCCTTGGAATCGGGGACGAAACAACGTATTTTCAGTCGAGGTAGTAAGAAAATATTATTTAATTATGTATATTTAAACAAACAATTTCAGTACTGTGAGTATTTTTATGAAAAATTATTTACATCCAAAAACAAATTATATTAAGAGCTCAAATTTTAGGTCAGTTATTATTTTGATTTAGAGAATAACTCCACAAAATGTTTAAAAAAAGAGGATTACAATGCAAAAAAAGAAACCCATATATTAGCATTGAAGGATATTAGTTAAATTATGTCATTTAGATTAGTTGATATTATAAGGATATAAAAATTTGTAAAGAATATTTACTAAAGATATGATGAAAATGATTTTTAATATTTCTTACCAAGGAACATGTGACACAATTCAATCTCTTGTCCAGGTTTGATCTCCATTTTCATCAATTTATGGGCACATTCCTCAAAATCCAAACTGGATTGTATTGTGAGATAGATGGTTCTCCTTAAGGTGATTAAATTAGTTTCTGTGTTATCAATAATGGTTTGATTTTTGGTTTCATCTTCTTCACCTTCTTCATCTTCCGAGTCTTCTTCAGACCCCTCTGAACCAGATTCGCCTGATTCACTGTCTGACTGGAGAATTTCCTTACTTAAAGTTTTGTATTTACCCTCATTTTCCTCATATTTATCATCAAATTTAAACACATCTAAAACAGAAATTATAATAATACAATAAATAAACAAGTACAGTACTAAAAAAATTACTCAATATATCCTCTGAGTTAGCTTGTTTAACATCATCCAATGTGATTAGGTGAGTAAACTGATCTTCCTCTTCAACAATATCTAGTTCTTCAGTAACAGCAGCATGATCCTTGAAACCATCTTTCCGAACTTGGAACATGACTTCAATCATGTACTGTATTCTCTTCTCCAACTGTCCTTCATGCAGAATATTCCTCAACATCTCAAATATGGCATTGATACCTTTACTCGACACCTCAGTGAGTTTTTGACCACTTTCCTTCAAAAACGAAATTGCTACTTCCACTGAATCATCTGTGGGGGACTCAACAAGTAAAGTAAGGATTTCCAATGCTAAAATTTCGTGGGCCACTCTTTGGTTTACTAAATGCGCGACAAAGGTAGCAGCCGATATACAGATAGACTTGTTGTTCTGCTTGAAACCCCTTTTAAACTGCAAAACCAACCTTTTCAGTAACAGTTCTCCAATGTTGGGGAATTTTGAATTTATGACTGCAACTAAAGCTGCATAAACATTGGTGAATGTCGGGGAAGCTGCCTGTGCTTGTATTATAGATTTACACAGCAAACCTCTACCTCTTACAATGTTTTCATGCAGTAATTCTCTAGCAATAAGACCAATATTGGAAGTGTTAATTTTGTTGATGTAACCATGAATGGACTTTTTTAAAGCTTCCCAGGCAATTCTTTGATATGCAGCTGATGATTTATCAGTTATCTCAGCCTGCATCATACGTAATTTAGCTGGAGGTATATAAGCCCCACCTGTTCGAGATGTTAGTAAGTCCACTGTTTTCCTTTCCCTTGGAGTGATGACGGATTTATCCTTATTTTCATCCTCTTTTTCTTTTTTCTCCTTCTTTTCCTCAACATCATAATACCGGCTACCAATAACATATTCGTCCCTGTCTTTCTTTGGGTACTTGGACCAATATCTGTCACTGTTCTGTTTTCTATCCTCGCCATAATATCTTGGGTAGTCTTCAGAAGGGTCGTCCAGGTCGTGGTAACGTTTTTTTCCACCATGTTTGTCCCTATGGTCTCTATCCCTGGATCTAGATCTGGATCTGTGGGATCTCCTCTTGCGATCTTTATCGCCCTTCTCTTTCTTATCGTACTTTGCTTTTTTTGGTTCTGGCGATTTCGAGGCGCTTCTGCGTGGAGCCGCAGCTGTAGGGGAACCTCTCTCGGAATCCGTCGTCATAACTATAACCTTTGTTCACTACACCACACGAATTGACTGGTTAATTAAAAATAAGCACAAGAAACGAATAACACTACAATGGTAGTGACTACATTTGTTTGAATTTACACAAATGACGAAGTGTTGTTTTTATTTTAGGTTATCTAGGGAAATTTAGGCCGTTTGGTTGGTAACAAAAATGTCAACACTTATTAGGGATTTTGTTTTCTTTTAGTTGGAAACATTGCTTTAATATCCCTAAACTAAAAATAATAGGGGTATTTTTGTTTAAGATGTTGGCACTATTAACTTCAATGTTTCCAACATTGGGAAAGGTCTTTTGACGTAAACATTTTAAAGCCTAATTTATAGATTGCCTTTCTTCCTTCCTTCCTTCCTCCCGTAAAAATGAACAAACCGAAAATCGTATGTTGTAATCACAATGGATTGTATTTGCCCTAGACAAAAACAAGTTTTGTTTTTGTCTAGGATAGTTGTCATATATTTATTTATTATGTTTAGTGCAAATATATTTTTTAAGCGTACTATTTATTAAATTATTATTTTCATAATAAAGTCAAATTTATAGATTGCCTTCCTTTCGTAAAAGATGATCAGGCTGAAGACTCACAAGTCTGTATAGAACGACTTCATTTTAATACTGTAGTTCAAAATTCAAATTATTATTAAACTCTGTACAAAAATAATTTCATTTCATTTGAGCATAACCTAAAAATGATATGACAGAATCTTCGGAAATTCATTAATTAAATGTTTGAAAAGAAATACTCGGAGGCGAAAGCTTATTAATTGCCTCGTCTATAATCTACTATTTAATATTATATTGTTTATGTTTGTGTCTAGGTATGCTTTTTCAGTGAATTGATCAGTTTTTGATAATTAACTTAAGAGAGACTAACCCCCCGCCCACCCAACCAATCCCTTGTCTATGGATTTCTTGCATAGTAAATAGTTTCCATACACTACAAAGCAAATAGCATATAACAAATAGTCGTTAAAATAGAACTAGTCGACAATTCTGAAGGCCCTTTAGTGAAGGGGATATCTTGATGAATTATAATGAATCAAGACCAATACAATAAGAAATCAAAGTAAAAGTGCATGATGATAAATTTAATGAATCCGAGCAAGTTAAACTAAGCCCGTATTACAGTCTGCAATTCAAAGCTATTTCTTGCATTATAACCATGGCAACAATTGTTTGAGTTGCCATGTTAAAACATGTAACGTTAGTCTTGAATTACTAGACTGCTTATTCTATGCAATTTAAGGCAAAATACCAATAGGAGACAATAATTCATCATTAAACTTATTTAGCCTAGGTTTAACTGATTAAAGCATATAAAAAGTACTATGCTCCATTGTAAAGCCTCCACATCAAAAATTCCCACTTCACATGTGAATAAGGAATGCAGTCAAATAATTAAGGTTATGTATCTGTCAGATAAGCATTACAATACATGTATTTCTTTTTATAAATTAGTACCTTTACACAAAAACATTGTATTTTCAGAAAATAATAAAAAATTAGTTACATAACCTGAATTATTTGACTCTCATTCCTTCTTGAAATATTATTGTTATTGTGTTATTTTAATAACAGGCCAATGTAAAAATAAAACAAAAATTTTTTGGCGTTTTTTTTTATTTTTTTGTGGGTCACATTGAATAACAACTTCAAACTAAAACAGCAAGGAATTGCAAGCCAGTGGACGTTTTTCTGGTTTTGTTATTAAAAAGAATGTTCACATCTATCCTGTTTTCAGTGGAAAAAAGTTGTCGAAGTGTAATTCCTGAAAAGAGAATTAAAATTAATATACAGGGTAGTTTTAGAACATGTGGTCTTAACAGGAGGCATCTAAAATCATTTATAGGTTTTTAAAGTCAGTTTATGTAACAAATTACAACGGGATGATTTTTTTTAACTTTGATTTCTATAGAAAACAATTAGCCAATCACAGAGCATTATTTCAAAGCACACTAGATGGTGGGCAGGGAAAGCAATGCTTTGATTTGGTTAATAAAATTTTATACAAAACAGTTAACCAATCAATATAGCATTTTTCACAGCACACTAAATGGTTTTGTCTTAATATATTTAGTTTTAAAAATAAAAACTTAAAATAAAAATTAAATTGTTTTGCAAACTTAGACTGGTCCTGCCATAAGTTAACAGGCCAGGTGGAGATCGCAATATGATATACCCTCAGTTTTTGATCATCCATACTACATAAAATGCACAGCATTCAAAAACCAAGGGATGTGACAGAAAATAAGGTAAAAAACACTTACTTTGTAACTTTCTATTTGGACCTTGCACGCATCTTCCTGCGCTTACGCTTTAGCCTACGCATACGCTTCTTACGCCACTAAAAGAAAAAACATGTTAAATTTTGTATTGACAAAGAAATTTATAATATTCGTTATAATATTCGTAATTTTTCTTGAATTAATGATGCCTTAATGTTAAGTAGACGTATAAATAATTGTTTAAAATTAGGTAATAGTTATAAACACATAAGACAAATTATCGGTAACATGCTTGATGAAAAGTAAGGTTATGTTTTCCAGGTAAATAAAATAGAGATATAAGTACCAGAAACTATAAAAAATACAGTAAATTAATATATACTTTAACTAATTATGCTACAAAATAACTAAAATCAAAATATAACTACATAAAACAAGTATAACTAATATGAGATAATGGAAAATACGCTTTTAACATCATCCATCATTAATTCAAAATAAATCAAAAACTAATAATAAAATAGAAAAAATATTATAAAAACTTACCTTCGCTCTCATATTAGAGCTGTTTTTAAGATCTCTAGTTGAAAAAAACTAGAGGATTCTTGAAATAACAGCAGATTTTACGTGCTTCTACACACCGATATGAGAACAGAATGAAAGAGGAAAGAACCTGTCACAAAAAAGTGGACGTTGACTTTTCTAGAACCCCGCGAGAGGGCGTATCAACATCCTGGCGGGAAGAAATTTTCAAATTAAAAGTTTTTCATAATAACGCACATTTATCAAATATAATTGTTAAAATCAATTACAAAATACTTTAAGTTATTGAATATAGTTGTTTTTTATTTAATTTTTAATAAATGGCAGATTTTACATCTGGTATAAATTTCTGAACGCAGTTTTGGTCAAAGGCGCGAACGTAGAGGAGAAACCCCGCGAAAATGGTTTTTCTACCTGTCGTAATTTTGATAACTCAACGGTTTTGGGTACCTAAACAGACAAACCGTAATTAAACAAAGATTTGTTTGGTAATCGTTTATTTTAAATAGCAAACTCGTAAGTTTTAAAGTGTGTATTGTTGCTTGAACCTTTAAGTAAACCAAACTGATGATTAAAGTGTTAAAATAAATAATTATGACTAAAATTTCTACAAGATCTTCAAGACGACTTTCCCAATTGCCCCCAGAAGTGTCGGCTAATTTGGGAGAAAAAGAACGGAGCAGCAGGACCAAAAGACAAAACCCAAAACCACTGATTGTTCTAAGTGATGGTAGTGATAGCGAAGATAATCAGCCCTTTTTGGCACCAAAGAAAGAAAAGTCCAGGGCATCAAAACATCAACCAAAAGTAGTGAAAGAACCGCAAACAAAAAGGACCGCAAAAAGATTAAACCAAAAACCTATTATAAGTGATGAAAGTGATACTGAAGAATATCAGCCCCCCTCAACACCAAGAAAAGAAAAATCGAGATTATCAGAAGCCGAATTACATGAACTAAGCCCAGTTACACCACCAAAGCAGAGAAAAGTAGCCAACAATGTGTTTAATGATGAGAATGTACCACATACTCCATCATCGTTGTTCAAAAAACTGACATTGACCAGCCCAAAATTCAAAAACAATCTTAATCTTAAGGAAAACTCCCCTGTTAAACAACAGACACCAAATAAAAAAAGTTTATTCAGAGAAAATGAGCCAACTTTGTACCAAAGTGCCAGAAAGGCTTTGCATGGTGCTTACCCTACGAAAATGCCTGGTCGAGAGAAAGAACATGAGGAGTTGAGGGGTTTTATCAAGGGGCACCTAAGGGAGAAAACATCAGGGTCACTGTATGTAAGTGGCCCTCCTGGTACAGGGAAAACAGCATCATTAAATTTGATTTTAGAGGAGGATAATGTATGATTATTTTTGTTTTGTTTTATGATTTGTTACTACTACTTAATTGGTTTTCTTTTAGATTGCTTCTGAGTTTTTAAATGTTTATGTTAACTGTACTGCTATTAAGTCAGCAAATTCAATTTATAAGAGGATTGCCAAAGAATTAAGTATCAAAAATATTGGAAAGGCTGAAAAGGACTATTTGCAGTCAATTGAAAATTACTTAAAGAAAAATCATAAAATGATGTAAGTAAAATCATTTTGTTTATTTAATATGAAATGTTTAAAATAACATAATTACATGATTACACAACATTCTCATAATTATAAGTAGTATAAAAATGTTTGTTATACAATTTTTTTGTATAAATATATTTTGATAAACAACTCCCAAGTGATTAGGTATATTACTTTTTTTAAGAAAAAAGTGATTACCTAAATTACTTTTTTTTAAGAAAAAAGGTTTATGCACCAATAGTACATATATGACCACCGTAGAAGCCAAGGGATACATTTAAAAAAAATGTTGTTACATACAGAAAAAGATTGTAAATGCTACATTTTACTTTTTATCCAAGGGATAAAACTGAATTCTAAGCTAAGCAAATTACTAATAAATTATAATATATTACTTTAAACATGATTAGGTCTCAATTTCTAGGTTCGGAGCAAGTTTTTAAGATAAGTGATCTGCATATCATACTTAATCTAAGACAAACACAAAGTAATATTTTTTCAGAATTTAAAGTTAATTTTATTTGACATTTTATCTGACTACTGTAAAGTGGTTTAACCAATCTGGCATTTGTCAGACAGGTTTAACCTCACTTTTTCTTGATCTGACATATGTCAAACGGTTTTAACCTCATTTGTTTCTAATTTAATGGACTAGTTGTGCACTACTCTAGTGTATTAAATTGTCCCAAGTCAAGGATTTAAATATAAAAAAGTAGGTTTTTTGTAAAATTATTTAAATTTCAAAAACAATGATCTAAAATTGAGAAATTTTGAAAAGTATTCCAATATTAGCTAGTTTTTATGTATTTTTTGAGAAGCAGTAGGCATTTTTTCAAAAATATGTTCAGTTTGTATTTAATAATTTATCCAGAAGATTTTTTTTTGAATAATTGCAATTATATTAATCTTTGAGGTGAAAAAAATTATATGCATAAGAAAAAAAATCTGTAAACATCTTAGGCTTAAATTAAGTAACAAAATAATTCTATTTTTTGTTTTTTTTTATTAATAGTTGTTTTTTATTTTTTTAAATTGTTTGTGGAATTGAGACATCATATATATGATCAAAAACAATAAACAAAGTAGGCTCATTGAATATTAAAAATATTGTTCCACTGGTGGAATAATGAAAAAGAAAAGAAAAAGAGGACAATTCTAAACATTAAGTTACAACTATTTTTTACATAGATGCAGTCTGTGACAGATGATGTATAATTTATTAAATATTAATAATAATAATTTTATTTTTAATATTAATATTATGTGGAACTTGTGAATAATGGTCGGCTATGTTCTTCACTGGTTGCAAAATTCTATTTTTTAATATATTTTATTGTTAAATTAAATTACCCATAAAAAAGCCCATACCAATGATCGCACAAATTTTCCAGAGATAATCACGATTTTATTTAATACATTTTCATTTTTTAAATAAAATCGCGATAATCTCTGGAACTACAATATTTATGCCATAATCCGTAAAAAAATTCCTGTCAGATATAGGTAGTAAAAAAATGAACTCCTATTTACATATTTCCTAATATGTTGCAAGGAGTCCATTTTTTTATTACTGCATGATAGGGTTTTAAAATGTTCGGAAAGTCAATTTTTCTGAAAATTTCCAAATATATCCGTACACTGATATCGAGAAAAAAGTGAATTTCCGACGCTGTATATATAATCATAAAATTATTTTAATTCAGTAAGAATATTCTACCGGGTCGCAAAAACAAAACATATTTGGTGCGGTATTAACATAAGTTTGGTTTATTTGACACTTCGATTTATAAATTATAATTTTGTAATTTAACTTTATGAATCATTCATTATTTTTTAATTGGATATTTTCAATGGACTCCTTTTTGCAAATATATATATTTAACGTTTACGTTTATTTTTTTAAAACAATGTTTAGTTTAATTTTTTTTCCTGTGAGGATATTTTTTTTAAATTAAAATAATGTTAAGTTGTTGATTGCTACTTTTTTCAAATGTGTATTTTTTCCAAAATAAATTCAATTGGTCTGGAAAAAAAATGGTAAAAACAGTTTTTTTTTTGTTTTTCCGTTTTTTTTTCGACACTTTAAAACTTATGGTGGGTTTACTATTTTTACCAAAAAACTTCTTTTGATTCAGATTGTTAGTATTGGACGAAATAGATCAACTAGAATGCAAAAACCAATCAATTCTCTACACAATATTCGAATGGCCATCAAGACCAAACTCCAAACTGATTTTAATCGGCATTGCTAACGCTTTAGACCTGACAGATAGAACCTTACCGCGCTTGCAGGCGCGCTGCGAGTTGAAACCAAAGTTGATGCATTTTGCACCGTACACCAAACAACAAATAGTGGAGATTTTCACTTCGCGGTTAAAAGCGGCGGGCGTTTTGGAGGTTTTCTCGCCAGTGGCGTTGCAAATGTTGGCGGGAAAAGTGGCGGCCATCTCGGGGGACGTGAGAAGGGCTCTGGATATCGGCCGTCGAGTCATCGAGATGGTGGACAAAAATAACGACGATTTGGCGTTGAAGTCGCTGGAGAATTTGGCCAACGATTTGCTGGAGACTGAGGCAAAACCGAAGACGGTGGACTTGAAGCAAGTCGTTAACGTTCTAAATAACGTGTACAGCACCTCGCAGAGTTTGACTGACGACCAGGACGATTCGTTCCCGCTTCAACAGAAAATTATCATTTGCTCGTTGCTCTTGATGTTGAAAAAGGCCAAGAACAAGGACGTCACGATCGGACGTCTGCACGAAGTGTACCGAAGAGTCTGCACCAAAAGAAACTTGCTGGCTGTTGATCAGGCGGAATTTGTCGGTCTTTGTTCCCTAATCGAGACAAGAGGTATCATCAAAGTCGTAGGTAAAAAGGAACCGAGACTGCACAAGGTTAATTTGGAGTGGGACGACGAGGAAGTAGCCAATGCCCTCAAAGACAAGCAGCTGATGTCGATGATATTGCAAGACGAGACTTGTTTAGGTAAATTTTAAATCCTTTGACTAGATTTTTTTATAAAGGCTGTATAATTTAAGTTTTAAATTTAATTATTTTAATGTTTAATGTTTGAAACATTCATTGTATAGAATTAAGATCAACTCAATATTATTTTATTTATATCAAATAAAGATTTTATTTATTACTCAATTGGTTTTATGTTCTTTGTAAAATGCATTTACAACAAATTATAAATACCTAGACCATATATATACTCAGTCTATTTTTTAAATGTTTTACATTGCGTCATCAATTTGCTGTTTTCTTTGTATACGTATGCCGGACGTATGACGAAAAACAGGTTTTTGACATTTTAAACTAATGACGCAATGTAAAACATTCAAAAAATACGACTGTATATACAGTGTGTTTCATTTTGATTAGCGACAATTGGGTATTTAAAAATAATCCTGCGTTCATTTTACGCGAGTGCAGCACCTGCAAAGTGAAGATAATTTTTAAAAGAGATTTTCGCTCTGGGGTGCCAGGCCCGGCTCCAGACATTGCGGTACCCCGTGCAAAAAATTTTTGCCGCCCCTCATAGTTACCTACTTTTTAGTGCCCATTAATAATGTATAATTTCTAAAAAAAAACTATAGTACCTATAACTATAGGTATACCCAAATAATATCGTCCCCTTGATGCTACAATTAGATACACTGTTCAAAATTTCATGACCATTTTAACACCAAATTAACACCATACATGGTCTATATCGATACAAACCAAAATGGTGTTAAATATGGTTCCTTGGTCCAGTGTAATTTCAAATACTAAAATAGTGTAAATTTAACTCCTTTTCAGTGTTAAATATTATGTGTTCTTGGTCAAATTAAATCATACTAGGTGTAAAGTGTACTTCTCAGTAGTTCGAAAGGATAAAATATTTTTAGATAAACACCGTTTTGGTGTTTGCTGTATATAACATTTTTAAACATAATTCATGGGGTTTATATTAACACCATTTTGTGTTGGATTCAGACACCATTTTTAGATTACCCTTTACACCACAGCTATTTTAAACAGTGTAATATCGTCCCCTTGATGCTACAATTAAATATCTGGAAAAACACATTTATAAATAAAAATATTCTAAAATTGGTACCTATGTAAGTATTTAGTAGAACTGGATTCGTAAATTTTCTAGTTATCCAGTTGTAGCATTATTTATGAGAATTATTTATTTGTTAATTATTATTTTTTATTAAAAGGATGCATGGTGTGATATATTAATTTTTTATAAAATGTGAATAAATGCCTACCATAAAACACACACAAAAAGCCCAGCACAATGTAAATACCACAACCACAGGGAACAAAATGTCCTCGAAAATGTCCATTTTTTCAAATTATTAAATTTCGAATAGGTAGTGTACTATTGCACAAAGAAGTTCAATATCAACTAAAATAATTTATAAGTTTGCCTAAAAACAAAGCAAAATCCTGATAAATAAAAAAAAACCGCACATTGCGGCGCGTGCCATTGATCCTTTGTCGGCTCTATTATAAAGAAAGCCGCTTTTTTATTTAAAAATGGGAAATAATAGTACGATAACTTTTTGCCGCCTTTCGATTTTTGACGCCGTTCGAATTTTGCCGCTATTCGATTTGTGCACCTCTTTAATTTTTGCCGCCCTTCGATTTTTGCCGCCCCGTGCAGGGGCACGGCTGCACGTACCCTGGAGCCGGCCCTGTGGGGTGCAGAACCAGTGGTTTAATTTTTACTTTAAAACATTGGCGCCCTGAAGTATGACATTCCTTTTTGAAAGGTTACTAAATTTACTAGTACTTTTTACGTCGATTGTAGCTATTTTTAAAATAAATGTTCTATCCCGCCGTTATCCACACAAAGTTGACAGCGACGTCAAAAATTATGATGCGTCTCTCTAGCTATCATATCCGGATGATATCGGATTTCATCTGCCGCAGTGACAAGTTCGCGTAGTTGTTCTAATGTGTCAATTTCGCTCTGGTACACTAAACTGTTCATGTATCCCCAGAGAACCACAATATCAACGGAAATGTCAGTAATCAATGCTAACAAAGTACCTACCAACCGATTTTGAATAAGTTTAAAAGTTTTCTTGGTATTACATAATACACTGTGCGCATACCTCTTTTTTTTGCTTGGATGAATAATATCATTGTTTTTAGAGGTAAAATCAATGATGATAGGTCAGTGACATCCAGTGGCTACCTGGTTTTATCATAAAAAATTTAATTTTTTTTTATTAAAAAAGAGTAGCTAATGAAAAAATGAGGAAAAACTTTCTTGATTTGGCGTGTAATATCATTCCTCCAAACGATGACAAATAATCCGATTTAAAAAAAATATTTTTATTTTATATTACTTTTAAGTAATAAGAAATACAAATATTTTTAAAAAGAAAAAAAAATTATATGGCACTTACATGGCTTTCTATTTAGAAGAACTCCAAAAACTTCAAAAGTGATTAGGCATTTTTTTTTAATTTTATGTGATCTACAGAGTTTCGGATTCTTTAATCAAATTTATATAATATTTATATGACGTCAAGCCATCACCAACTCTAGGTCGTAATAATAAAAAGTTGAAATTTTAAAACTTTAACTTATAAAATAACTTATATTGCATAAGATGAAGTTCTTCTTCTTCTTCTTAATTCTGAACACAATTCTGTGTTCAGAGGAATGACCTTTAGCTTAATTTAAAAGCTATTTGGCCAGCACATTATATTTTTCGGTTTCCACCAAGATCAAGGGACTCAATTAAGAGTATCTGAGTTGTCTCATCCCTTGGTCTAATTGTTTTTTTTTTCTAGGTTATATTTCCAGGTGTATTTTTTGCTAAAATGGGTTTAGTAGGGTGTTAGTACGGACAGACGTTACAAACAAAGGTAAGACTTTTCACGCTTGGGGGCAGCGGCCAAGCGACTTTGACAACCCAGTAGATGCTACCTCGGTATAGGAACCCAGGAAGTGTTATTGGAAGGATCTGTAAAAAGAAATAGATAGAAATAAATGTTATAATATTATTTTGTGGTAGTCCATAAATTTTAATAGTATTTTTATGGTTTTTTTATTAAGGTTTCTCAGAATAAGTTGTAGGTTTGTCGGTAATTCTAATCCATTTTGTCCTATTTCGAAGTATATGTCGCCATTGATTGGGCATTCTAGTAAAATGTGTGTTAGGTCACCCACTTGTCCGCATTCGCAGTAGGGGTTTTCTAGTATACCTATTCTGTGTAGGTGTGCGTTTGTAAGGCAATGTCCTGTTCTTAAGCGCATGATAGCTGTTAGGTGTCTTCGATTTTGTATTTTGTTGGTATAGAACCACGGTTTATTCGGAAGTTCGTCGACTATTTTTCCATACCAGCTCCCTGTTCTAGGAAATGTTTTTAACCATTCCTTGTTGTATGCTTGGTAAAGTTCTTTTTTTAATTCAGGTAGTATTTCTGTCATCTCTGGTTGAAAGTTTAAAGGGACATTAAGGTTTACCCCAATATTTGCTAGTTGGTCTGCAACTACATTTCCGTGGATTTCGTCGTGTCCTGGTACCCATGCTAATATAAAGTCAAAATCGTTTTCTGTGGCTATTGTAATAAACCTTTTAGTGGCAATCGATATATATTGGTCTTTTGATGAGTATTTATTGTTTATTAGTTTTTCAAGGGCACTAGCAGAGTCTGTTAAAATTAGGTTACGTTTGATATTTTTAGAGATTGCAATTTCTACACCCTTGCAAATTGCGGCCATTTCTGCTGTGCATATCTGGAGATGGTCTGGGAGTCTTGCCGAAAATCGAATATCGTTCTCAGGCATATAGATTCCTATACCCGTTTTATGTTTAATTTTTGATGCATCTGTATAAATGATGTTGTATTTATTTGTTTTAAATTTTTCGAGTTCTGCTAAAAAATTTATTTTATTGTTTATATAATTTTTTCTTAAGTTTAGATTTTTTTTTTTAATTTGGGCAAACTGGTAACAATATTCGATTTCAAAGCAAGGCATGAGATCACTTCTTCTAATTTTATTTAAGTATTTATTAAGTAGGGGTGTTACTTGGATGATGTAGGGGTATTCTTTTGATTTCCAATATGTGTTTGGTTTTAAGCAGTCTTGTTTTAGCATTGCCATAATGGGAATTAAGGGGTGAGATTTAAATTGAACTATTTTTGATAAGAATTTGGTTGTTAACCATTTTCTTCTTTCAGATAATGGGGGTTCTGCACATTCTGCAAGTAGGGCGTTGTTTGGAGTGGTTTTCATAGTGCCTGTAATAACCCTTAATGCTTTATTCTGGGTGGAATGAAGTCTATTTTTTAAATTTTTTTGTATGGGACTTAATAAAATTGATCCGAAATCTAGTTGTGATCTTACTAGACCATTGTATACCATTAACAATATTTTGGGGTCTGCTCCCCAGTAAACCCCTGCTATTGCTCTCATCACATTAATGCCTTGGTTGGCTTTAGCAATCATTCCCGTAACCTGGTTGTTCCAATTAAGGAATTCGTTGAAGGTAACTCCCAAATACTTGATATTTGCCTGCTGTTTTATTTCCTTATTTCCTATTTTTATTGTTGGTGGTGATTGTTTACTTTTTCTTTTCCTGAACCATATGAATTCAGTTTTGTCTGATGATATTGAGAGCTTATGTTTAGAAAACCATAGATTTATCTTATTTAGAGTTTTGTTAATGGTTTCTGTCATTTTTGTTATATTGTTACCCCTGGTAAAGAGAACCAAATCATCAGCATATGACAGCAGGCATGTATTTTTGGGAATTACCTTAAATATTGATTGGATATAGATATTAAATAGCAATGGGCTCAATGGGGATCCCTGTGCCAGACCATTCCCGACCACTGCAGGGCCATGAATATGGTTGTCGCAATCCCTAATAAACAAGTTCCTGTGAGATAAAATATTATAGATTAAATTTGAGTAATTATGAGGTATGTTGAGTTTTGATAAGTAATTGTAGATGATTGAGGTGTTTACGTTATCATATGCTGCTTTTATGTCAATAAAAATGGCTAGTATGGTTTCATTTCTGCTAAAAGCAAGGTGTATGTTGGATGTTAGGTATACAAGGTTTTCTGTTATACCCATACCCTTTCGAAATCCAGTTTGGAATTTGGAAAGTGTTTGTGAGTTTT